TTGAAACAGTTTGACCCAAGGTCCGAGCTGTACATAGCTGGGCAGGAGCACATGGCCCGTCACCCAGATGTGGGGCATTTTGCAGGTTCAGGGTCGGGAACAGCCGTTAGGACTCTTGTTTGGCTTCACTCCGTCTGGACTTGGGTGATGGTGGCCGACGCTTTTGCCTCAGTTTGAGTGCCGAGTTTCTTTCCGTGAGTTTGATGTTCTCACCCTTCCTCTAAGCACTTCGCACTCTATAAGCCCCCGAGCATGCGAAGGCAAGGCATGTTCAGTTCAGCGCTTCTAAGGCAACAGAGCACGCACCAGGCATACACGCCAATCCCACGACCCCTGCATGTATGCAGAAGGCATTTCGATGTGGACACATAACAAGGCTTAAAACCTTGTGAAGGCGGAACCTCAGAATGCATTGCGAGCTTTGTGTCCTGAGGCTTCGTTGATGGAGAGGGTTGCAGCGTGAGCTGCCGAGTGGGAATCGCCCACGGCGCAACACCGGCTTGTGAGCACTCTTCGTCCATGTTTCGTACCGAAATCGAGTTTTGAGGGGTTTCAGCAAGTGGACGTTTCAGCAAGTCGCCTTGTTGCAGGGTAGTAGCCTGCTTGCAGGTAGGCAATTTCAGGAGAGGCGGAGGCTGTCTTGTTGCGCAGTCCTCGCTGCAAGCGGAAAATCATCGTGTGCCAGGCCTGCATCGGCGGAATTGTGGGCACGGAGATGCAAAGGTGACCCTGGTCGGTGCAGGTCGAAACTTAGTCGAGTCGACGCAAGCGCTTGGTGCAGCCCTGACGTGGTTGACATGATTAACCTTCTTTCGTTATTGTTGTTTGCGTCCCTCGATGGGGGATGAGTACCCGAGCACAGGGGTTCCACATCCAATAGAAAGCAACAAGAGGTTGCATCAAATGGAAAAGCACAGAGCAAACGGATTGCCGCGCTATAGCGTTAGAATTAAACAATCAGTTAAACAATCAGCATCAAATTAGCAAAGAAAATACCCTGTACAACGTCAGTGCTGATGATAAACCCGACCATCAGCGAAATTCCTACAGCATTGGAATGGGAGTCATCAGAGCCCATAGGGCCTGGAATTAGCGGTCTCCACGCGAAGACAGCCCTCCCCTACGAGAAAGCAGAAGGCTACAACACTGAGCGCACGCACTCAGCCCGATACAACAGACCGCATGTCACGCAGTTTATCCAACACAGCAGGCGGGTCGACAAGGAAAGGAACACCTGCAGCACCTCAGCATGGCAGCTTCACAGCAGCCGTGGTGGGGGTCGCAGTGCGACCCCCGCCATTGGCTCGGCATTGAGAGTAATGCCTCCCCGATCCTCAAAAGCACAAGTGCAGGTAACGGCTGGCTATGGGTCGAGCCGCAGGGGGAATTTCTGCTCAGGTTAATTCCCGCCACCGCTCCACAGCAGCTCAGCCATCCCCCAAGGAGAGAGCATCCCCGCAGCTTCACGGTGGCCCCCCCCCGGAGGGAAGGCACAGAAGAAGATGCGACGATTTTGATCCACAGTTCAACTTGGAAAGGAGGAGGAGCGGCGGAGGAAACAGAGCTTGGACATGATGATGGTGGGCAGGATGATGATGACGATGTTATGATGATGAAGATTCTGTTGCTGATGAGGCCAGCAATGAGCTTAATTCTTCTAGTGATCCCAACAACGACTGACATTGCTCACGACTTTGACATGTTGCGGTCAATTGAACTACAGCTGTGGGAGCGCGCTCATATGATACGCACCAAGTTTCCAGATGCTAAGGGCAAGCGAATACGGTTTGATGCCTTCCCCAACCTCAAAAACAGCCTGGGCCTAAACCTTAAGCCCTGAACTGCATCTCATCAGGATCGATCTCTCGAGCTTTTGAGCCCAAGGCCCGACAATGATTCAACAGCACGATGCAAGCGTTGTTACGGGTTTATCTGTTTTCGAATCGTTGTTGCTGTTGCTGTTGTCTGTGCCTGCTGCTGGCGGTGGTGCGGTCGTGGTCGCCGCCGGCGTCGACGTCGTTGTCGAAACTGATACCCAACATCCAGCCAAGGCGCTAAGCCCAATATACATATATATATATATATATACATGTATGTATGTATGTATATATATATATATGTATATGTTGGTCACTGCTCGAGGTACCATCTCTTTGGAGAGCTGATGTCGGAGCTGGAGGCTGCACTTCTCTATGTGCTAGAGGCTTTACCGGTGCGTCCAATTAAGTGTTGTTTTCAAGTCTGCAATAAGGGAATTTAGTGTGGTCAGGAGTTTTATATGTACATGGGCTTGGTTGGCGTAAGAATTCCAGCCCAAGCACCGCCAAGTCTGCATTCATCATTCACTCGGTCGCGCATAAACGGCTGAATGGCCGGAGGTCTTGGAGTCCACTGCTCCCCAAGGCTTGGTGCAGGCCCGACTTGTAGCTTGGCAGTTGCATCACTGATATTTCCTGATCCCCTTTATCACTCTGAGCAGTTCAGTCTTGGGCTGCAGGCGTTTGCGTCTGTGAAGCTTGACAGACACATAGCACATCATATCCAGCAGGTGTTCTTGTGGTTGTCAAACCTGTCGCGCACATACAAGCGTGACATGGACCTCTGGATGTGCAGATTTTATGCCCAAGCAGAACACGAGAGAGAGAGAGGATTAGGTTAGGTTGGCTTGGTTCTTGGTACAGCGCAGCCCGAAACTCACCGGCCTCTCCTTTTCACTCTCGCTCGTCGTAGGCCCCTCAACCCAGAGCGCGCTTGCGCGCGGGGGGGGGGGGGGTTTGGCGACTGCTACTTCCCTTGGCTGTGTAGAGCAAGAGATGCAGAGATAGAGTGACAGAAAGACAGGCAGCACCGAAAAAGAAAAACAGTGACGCTACGTAGGGTTTGTTTGGAAGTCAGTTGAGGCGAGCACAGCTTGCAAGAACGTCGCCGAAGAGATCATGCGCCAACTGCTCAGAACCGGAAGCGGGATTCGAAGTCTGACCCTTGCACCAAGGCATGGTCGATAGGTTTTCTGTCATGTTCAACCGTCAAGGAGAGCACGCGTTTAAGTTTGCAATGGCTGTAGCAAGGAAGCATGGGCCCCCTTGTCTTGCGAAGCGTACGCCTCCCGTTGCTAGACTTTCTAGAGATGCTACCTGTTAATTCTAGGTACACATTTCCCCCCCAGAAATGCTGGTATATTATGATAATTAGTATAGTATGTCATAGTCTGCTATAGTATATAGTATATTATCGTATATTAGAAGGTGATCGGGTCCGCTTCGGCCTCCTGAGGTGTGGAGAAGATCCCAAGCCAGCTTTTGAGCTTCGAGCAGCGCGACCTCCCTTACCTGCAGACGTCCAAAGGAGACGTCGTACCTCTGGAGAAGGCGAAGCATAAGGGTATAGAGTATAACCCCTAAAGAATTCAGCGTTTATAGCATCAAGAAGAGTCACACATGCATATATAGTTATTATAACTGTGTATATATATATATATATATAATTATACATGTAATTAGATGTATATTATATGTACTGTACCTCTACTCTTAGAAAGATAGACGGAAAGACGGATAGCCATGACGGTACAGGCAAAATGATGGTCCGCCATCGTGTATGGAACTGAAGCCTCCGCCGAACAAGATGCGGACCTGCTACTTACTCTGAATGCCGTAACATCGGGCCTGCAGGCTCAGACTACTGTAGCTTCGGATGTGGCCGTTCGGTGCAGTATTGCTTGGTCCGATCCAGCAAGAACTCATGCCAGCTATGTGAAGCGTTTGCGTCTACGCCTTTTAAGATTCGTTTCGGCCGACCTGCTGCCCAGACCGTCAGGGCACACTTCCATGCAGTCTGCAGTAATGAGGCCGCAAACGTTACCACAATTTCTCTCTTCTCGTCGTGGTCGTCTATATCTATATCAGTCATTCAACTGCAGAGTGGAGTGTGTGTGGTATCTTTGGGGCAAGGACTGAAGCTTGCGACGTAGGAAACCCCACATCTGCCGGAGTTTGTCAGGCTGGTGGGGCCACCTTCATTGTCAAGAGCGACTCCACGTTTCGAGGCTTGGGCTCTCGGTAGAGGTTTATAGTTCGCGTGGGGTGCTCCCCCCGTCTCGATCAGCTTCTCCTTGACCTACCGAGAGAGGGAGGGAGGGAGGGAGGGAGGGAGAGAGAATGAGACTGAGAGACTCAGAGCGAGCGAGATACCAAGGGCAGGTCTTACAGTTTTAGCAGCACAAGGCTCTCGAGAAATCAGGGCGACACTTCATACGGCCGGACTTGCGGTCCCACTTGCAGCTCCCTTCTCATGTCTTTCCCTTATTCAACAGAACAGTTGACATGTTTGCGCACGGGCAAGCGGAAATGGCACGATGACTAAGGCTGGATTGGGGCGTGAGCGCGCTGCTTCGCCATCGATTCAAGTCCGCAGCTCCGAAAAAGCTTCCGCTCACCCGTTTGATGCCAGCACGATAGACAGTTAGATGGTGGATGTTCGTTCATGCTGTCTTGCTGCCCTGTTGCTCACTCATGGGCTCGTATACAGATACAGGTAGACGGAGACACATCTGCGCAAACACATATGTACAAAAATTGGCAGGTAGAAAGGTATGATGGCATGTCTGCAAACCTGTGTAAACATACATGTAGACACACCTCAACGGGTGAATGGGTGGGTCGGTAGTCAGGATCACCTTCCCGCTGCCTGCCCGCATCGAGCACATAGAGTCACAAAGACCGGAATCTACGATATCTACAGTGAATGTACAATGTTGGGCTTACCAAGGGATCGACCAAATTTTGTCCCAAGCAAGGCCTGTGCCATAGACTGTGCAGTGCTTCTTTTGCGTATCTTTGGCTCGACCTCCCCGGCGATGCTTGCGATTAGATGTTGGGAAATGATACAGGTCTCGAAAGGGCTATTCACTACAAGACAGCAAAGTGGCATCTTTGACGACTCAGACTTTTTGGTTTTGTCTTTGGCCTCGCAGATTCTGTGATATAGTCCCACCTATGGCAATGCCCTCGCCACCTGTGGCGGCCCGCAAGGCGCACAAATGGCCGCTTTGAGCAGCACTGGCTAGGAGCAGCTAGGCAGCTACGGGTTGACCGAAGCCTACAGGGAACTCCAGAAAGATGGAATATGGTTTCAGGGTAGGATACCTTATAATTTACCATACAGGGCTTAGGATAATCATATTCCAACTTTCTGGCTTTTACTTTAATGGAGTGAAAGTGGTTCTGGAATGAGCAGAAGCTGTCCGGGGAGTGCATGCGAGGCCCGCTCTTGCGCAGGCGGTTATTGTCCACTGACCGATTGAGCCAGTCACTTCACTTACTTCTCTCCTCTTGTCAACTCCATGACCTGCAACCCAAATGCAGCCGCGGCCTCAAGCGCCATGGTGGCGAGCGTTTAAACTAATGAGAGTGACGGTGAGGTGTCTCCTCCTCGCTGCCCTGATATACGCGGGAGGCCTCCGGAATGAAACCGAACGGTCAAGGCTAACGGGTGTTACGTGGTTGCCTCTGAGGCTCCCTCCTCTCTAAAGCATCCCAGTGCAAAAGGGCCTCAGGGCCGGTGTTGGCAGGATTGAGGAATATTAGGAATACTAATATTAATAATAATACTAATATTAAATTAAAAATAACAATAATCGTAATAATTATAATATAAAAAATGATAATCGTAGTAATACTTGAACCCTTGGCGAGAGTTTGTTTCGACAGTCTCACATTCGTACCTACTTACAAAATAATCGCACGTACAGACACTCGCACACATGCCTCCATGCACATATGAATGCACCAGCACACATTGACATGCACGCGTGCAGGGAGTCATCACTCGCCTCTGTAAAAGCCGAATGCAGGCAAATGTATGTAGACATGTGTCTGCCTCAATACTCCCATCAGCCGCACAGGTGCAGACTTCGCAGATGCAATGAAACAGAATCACGGACAGCAGGACTGCAGCACGGATAAGTAGAGCATCGCGAACAGCACAGATACAAGACAAGCTGCAGGCACACTGAATGAGCCGTGACCCTACATGCGTGATTATCAGTGGCTTGAACCTACGGCAGCACATGAAGAGCAAGCGCTTGTAGGACACAGCGGCATCACCAGTGCCACTGGACTAGTTTGGCCACTTTACTGTTCCGATGGTACGCGCCAGGCTGCCTCATTCCGGCCAACCAGTCCTTAATTTCGCACTTCGGTTCTCCGATACTTGATTTGCAAGCGGCACAGGTAAGCGCACATGTGTTGTTGTCCTAACATTTGCATTTGCGAAGACCTCCCTTCGCACTCGCCGAGCCTTCGCGAGGTCGTGGCTTCGTCGCCGAGAGCTATGCAATATGCAACGACAAGTGAGAGGCTTAGCCCCTCAGCGTGAGCTTGGATTCTGCAGTGACCTGGGGGCAGGATTTGCGCTAAAGTATCCCGACGGCTTCAAGTGCGACAAGCGAGTACACCCACACAGACATAAACAAACACGCTCACCAGCTTTCCGGTCCGTGACTGCCCTCGCAGTCTGCGGGGCTCTTGGGTGGTGCCGCAGAAAGTGCCACACAAAGTGATCCGCGATCTGGGGTCATATAGTCTATCAGCACCTCTTTTGCGCTCGCTTTGCGTCGGGGATCGTAGGTGAATTTTCGAGTTTTGACATGAGGACTGTGCTCTGGCTCCCTCGACCCTATAGTCCTAACATGTCCTAGCTTTCTCAAGCCCAAACAAACTTGAGTAATGCGAAGGGAGAATCATCGGAGGCGGCATGGCCCAAAGCAGCCTCAGTCCGTGCAGTGAGATCCTTGCCAGTGTAAGGCTGGCATTTTAGCTGTTGAGGAGCAGCAAGGCCCACATAAAACCAGTGCCAGAGCACTTCACAGCCGACAGCGTGCTAAAGTTGAACCTGCAGTCGAACTACCACCAGGTTTCAGAGCACCAAAAGTCCCAGGAGCTCTCAAAAGCAGCAAGCAATTCCAATAGTTCCACCGTGCATCGCAAGGGTGCAGCAAGCCGGCGCAGCTCTCAGTGATGACCTGGGACTCTGGTATGCAGAGTCGTTGGTGGTTTAAAGACTTACAGACTAAAAGCGGGTTGAGGGATCTTGAGGGCTTCAGGAATGTGTGGTTCAAGCGTGCAGACCGTGATCCCGGACAAGACGTTTACAAATTGCTGGAGGTTCAGCCCTCCCACGGCGTGCCGAGCCAACCGAGGCGGATTGAACGGCCTATCATGTCGTGCATCAGGTAAATCACTAGTCGAAGCTTGGAGGACCCGGTTTGCTTCGGAGAGTATGGAAAAGTGCTAAAGATATACAGCTCGACGTTGTCAGTCGTCTTCTCTTTTGCAATTTCTTGTCATCCCTGCTGTTGTCAATCTCAGACTACATCTTACTCTTGTGACTGCTGCTTAGATGGGTTTGCTACTTCAGTTTGCTAGCGCTCAACTGCCAAAGCTAGTGTGGTTACTTACACCCTAAGCTCCAGCATAGCTCTGCAACCTTGGCACAGTCCAAGGCGATTGCGCAGTATGTGCAAGTTGCACAGCACCTGACCCCCAATCCGTGCTTGTTGCTCCGCAGGCCCTGAACCTCCGAAACTATAACAACAAGATACAACAAGAATATTCTACCCATTCTTACATATACATATAGTCATATATAGTATGTTGAGCATACCATATATCATGTATTATGTAGTAGCCTCCGAAGCAGGCAGAGCGCAAGGCAGCTCGGGATATGCTCAAGGGGTCCCCTGTGGGCGAGTGGGGCTCCAAGCCGGAGGGTCACGGTTTGGGGGTTCTCGCTTTAGGAGTTTGGGAAAAGGGTGTTTAGGGTTTATAGAGTTTCGTGCTGCTGTCATCCAGCCGTATCGGGATCGCTTCTCGTCCCTTCAAAGTTCCTTCTAAAGTAACAGTGCTTGTGGCGCAGTTCCGTACCAGGCTGCTGGGTGCTTGGTGCAACAGGAGAAGGTCCTAAACGTCGTTTAGCACTCGGGAGTTGTGCTGGGCCTGTCGTCTTCATACCTATAGTCTCCATTGTGGTTCCTTTTTGGGGTTACCTTTTAGGATCCTTAATATAAAGTTGGTTAAACCAAAAAAAGGAACTACAATGGAGACTATAGGTAAGGACGGGTTGGTAGCCCTTCAGCCCTGAAAGTCCCGAACACGACCTGTCGCGGAGTTCAAGGATGGGGACGTCCATCGGGCAGGAGGGAGCCAGCACGTGCCTGGGCGCTTTACGATTCACGGTGTTTCAAGAGGTAGTTTAGCATGGCTTGTTCTGTTCAGTGTGCCAGTAGTGGCTTTGGGGACAATTACTTTTCCTCTCACTTGCATCGGTCGTTTGACTCTCCAGAGCCCTGCTGGATGAGGCTTTACACCGTCGTCGGCGGGCTCTTCCTCTTTATGCTGCTGTTGACGGCCGCCGTCGTGTCAGGGGCTATCGGCTGACGTCGCCTGCAAAGACAGGCACCGAATCTTGAACAGGGAGTCTTAAGAAACTGAAACCCTTGTTGAACTCTGGATATCCCAGTAAATATAGATAGAAGGAACAACAGAAAAGCAAGCAAGCAAGCAAGCAAGCAATGAAACAACAAACTGTTCGGCACAGGCAAGGGTGGCCGGGGGTCGGACAGCTATTTGTGTCGATCGAATTTGTTTTTTGCTTCGATGTTAATGTGTATGCGATTATGTTGTTTTGATAAGTGAATGAATGAATGAATGTTGTTTTGATAGGTTTCATGCCTTGATTTTGGTGTTCTATCGTTAAGGCCACTCGCTCCTTCGCTGGCCAAGTCTCTGCCCACAACTGTTGACATCGTCAATGGCTGACTGCACACGTTGATTCAATTCCGAAGACCCCGAATAAGCTCTGTTCCACTGAGCAGGAGCCCCTTTCTCCGCCAGGCATGCGGCGAACGTGCCGGAGGCGTTTGAAAAAGACTGCAACCGTTGCACCTTTTTGCCCTCTTGCAGGAATGGGAAGGAGCCTTCCAGGACACGCACGCGCACGTAATTGCTCGTGTTGCAGATGCTGGTTTGGGGGCTGACGTCTCTCTGTTTATCACGCCCTATGCCCAACTTTGCACGGCCGAAAACGAACCGAGAGGGCACCTGGATAGAGCAGCAAGGAGTTTCAAACAGGTGATGTTCAAGGCGGGGGATCCTTTGTGGCTTGCTGATGTTCGGTGACCGGTTCTGACGGATTGCTTTGGCTCGGTGCACCGGCATTTGTTCAGATGATACTTGGCACAGCCAGACCGGCTTCAGTGCTGCCCCAAGGCTACATACACTGCTGGAGACGATTAATGCAAGTGCCCCATGACGTCCTTAGAAAGCCTTCTGAACTAACTCCCAGAAGACTTGAGCCCAACCCCTATATGCCCTATGCATTACAGTTATGGCGTGGGTGAAAGCGCCTTGCGTCGATCAGCCGAACCAGAACGCGCAAATGTGATGCGTACTCGCAGTACCCGAGCCCCAAGCTTAAAACAAGAACATCGGATCAGCAAGACGTTCTGAGGTTGCTCCTCTTTGCGAGAGGGAGTCGAGCCATGGGAAGGGATCGTAGTCGCAGCCCTCGTCGCGGCGCTCGCGACGATGATGAGGAGGACTTGCCGGCGGAAGGCAAGCGGCTTGAGCTGCAGTTGTCATTAGCGTTTGTTTTTTCAATTTCTGAGTTGACTGTTTTGGTCAAGGCCATCTCACAAAATACAGCTGCGCGTCGTACCTCTCCTGACGAAGGAATGGTAAATATTGCGCAATGCACGGGGCATGGACTTCCATATAGGGGTAGCAGGCACCCCTGAAGCAACCCAATGCACAGTCTCAAGGCTCATGCTGCTGCAAGTGGACTTCGAGACATTGAAAGTCGAAAACCACGAGCTTCGTAGCCGGCTTCTTCAAGCACTGAGAAGGCTAGACTCCAAGACACCTTCTACTGGCCGGCACAGCAAAGAGGAAGTCAAGAAGGAGGTGACCTGGCGATTGGTCGTTGCCGTGCCCAGTAGTGAATTCTGTTATCGCAGCTGCCATCCAAGGTGAAAAAGGAGGTGAAGAAAGAGGCCAAGCCAGAAGGCAAGAAAGAAGTCAAAAAGGAGGTGAAGAAAGAGGTGGGCACTCGTGAAGACTTAGTCAGAGTGCTTTACTTTGAGTTGCCAGCAGCATGGCCTGCCACCCTTTTGGCGAGGACATCAAGAAAGAAGTAAAGAAAGAGATCAAGAAGGAAGTCAAGAAGGAGATTAAGAAGGAGGTGAAGGAGGAGGTCGAGAGCTCCTAACAAACCGCTCATTCAAGTTATTCCAAACACCCTAAGGCTCCCTGAAGCCCATTTCGACCTCGACAGCCCCGGGGAGGAAGGCAAAAAAGTCAAGACCGAGGCAAAGGAGGAAGAATCTGACGAAGCCGGAGAGGAGACCAGCATTATTACAGCTGTATGTTATCGCAATGGCGGACCTACATACACATACATATTCATATTCATAAATATACATATGTATATATACATATATATATATATATATACAGGTATATGTATGTATGTATATATATATATATATGTACTTATCTATGTTTGCTTGCCTGCCTGTATGTATGTATGGATGTGTTTGTGTGTGTGTGTGTGTGTGTGTTTGTAAGTGCTTATATTTATGTATATATATATATACACACATACATACACACGTGTATGAACACAGTCTGGTATTTGGGCTGCCGGTCTTGGGTTACATCGGACGAAAAATGTGGATGCCTGGTGCTCAGGCTTGCCGCAGATGCCAGCGACGTTGCAACATGAACGGTTTCGAACCCGGAAGTTGCTGTTTAGGGTGTAGGGGCTACTTGGAGGATCATGGAACTTAGTAAGTAGGGTTATAAGTGCTTTAATTTGGGGGCTGTAAGTAATTATAACTGTAGTTACTGTACTTATAACCCTACTTACTAAAACCCATGATCCTTTAAGTATTCCTGGCCCTTCCAGAGACAGGAGCCAAACACGAATGCCGTGCTCCTTTGCAATGCGCAGATGGAGGTGTACAACACGGAGGCGCTCAGACCTCACACCCATTATTTAGGCTTATACAAGGCCGAAATCCGGAAGTACAATTGCTTTTTTACTTCCTTACTGTGACACGACGACTACTACCACCACCTAATTAATACGACTGCCGGCAACGACGACCGCCATCAGCACCAACACTCCCTCTTCTGGTGCCCATGCTCACGTGGCGGTGGCAGCACTTGCGGCAGCAGCAGCTTCAGTAGCATGGCAGTTTCGCTCGTCGCTTTAGTCTTGCTGCGGATACTGCAAACAATACCGGTCAGAATGCTAGTACGCGGACCATCAGTCGAGGCACTCCTGTGACGGGCAGAGTAGTAGATATCCTGACAGCACTCTCAGCCGCGGCATGTTCGTCTCTATCGTCGTGGGTGTATGTTTCCATTGCTGTACCAGCAGAAGGCACGGAATGTGCCTGTATGGGTGTACGGACAGTCTTTGTGCGAACAAGCATTTCTGCCCTGGTTGTGATGACCTGATGTTGCTGTGTGTGTTTTCTGATGGTGATGACAGCGGTAGTGACAGTGATGGTGATAGTGAAGGTGATGGTGATGACTAGGCCTTAAAACCTTGAAAACTCCCTTATGATGAAGCCCAAGTATAATGGGCCCCAAAACCTTATCTAATCATGAAGGCCCCTATATTACATCGGAACCCTGGCCAGTGAGGTGCCGAACGATCTACCAATGGAAGAGCGAGCGCCGCTGGTTGAGGGGAAGCTCAAGAACTTCATGGAGAGTTTCCATGAGAAGGCTCCCGGAGCTGAAAGGAGTGTGCGAGCCGATACCATTCCTGTTGTGTGGTTATCAAATTTATGGCCCCTCTTGGGTACCCTCAATATTAGGTGCCGTAGTAGAGTAAGGACCCAAAAAGCGACCACCCCAATATTGACAACCACCCATATTGCCTCAGGAATTTCACTGCTAGGCCAGCTGTCGGGCGCCCTTAGAGTCTTAGAGACTTAGGGCTTGGGAAGGGACTGTGCGCCGATTCGACTGGCTTGTAACGATGCCTGCTTTCTTCCCTGGAGCTTGGAGCATGTAGTGCCAAGCAGTGCCACCATCACGTCACCTTACTTCCTAAAGCAGCTGACTCTATCAAGTTGGCAAAGAAAGGTCCAGATACTTGACCTCAAAACCGGCGGAGTACTCGTCAAGGACAAGATGTTTCAGAAGCGTTACGCTTGCGCTCCTTGGACTCTTTCAGAGGATCCGTGATATCTATCATTGGGAATTGTGTAGTCACTGTACTCGTGGGTCCAGCAGTCCTGTAGACCTCCTTTCCCCCATCGGAGGTCTTCCGAGAATCCGGCGATGAGCTGCGCGGAGTCTGCACGAAGCGTTTCTACTTCGATTCCAAGAGCCCAACATACTGCTTGGATTTCGAAACTCACGAGTCGCTGGGCTTGTATAAAATAGCATGGCCTATAGAACCGTTAATGTAACATAATTAAGATAATGCCATAAACATATGGTTATAATTTTGTCTTGAGATGCTACAACATGCAATAGGAAAATACAGAAAAAAGCTAACATAATACAATATACTATCATACATGTACCAAAAGAGACGGGAACAGCCCTGTAACGTAGTATAGACTGGACTAGACTACGTAACAAGAATGACAGCGGTTAGCGGCCTCGGGATTCGATGGTACAGCTTATCTCACTGCGTGATGTAGGATCTTCATGCATGCAGGCTCGACGGCACGGTGTCGTTGTGGGGCATGAGTTGTCGAGTCAAAGTTTAGGGTGTATATATACATATATATATATATATACTTGCGCTAAGTTCGGCCGAATCGCAATATGATTCAGTAATGCTGGGTTGTAGCGGGTCTATTTTCTAAAGCTCCTTCTGGGGCTTCGTTTCCGGACGTAGATACTCAAAGGATTGCAAACTGAAAAAGACTGATATGGGTGTGACACTTGCCACGTTGGGTACTGTGAGTTATCCAACATGGCGCTGAAGCTTGTTCGAGAGAGGACAACAAGACGGATGCAGCGACTGGTGCAGTTTGAGTTCGGAGCCCTCGTGATTTCTGTGTTGTTAAGGGGATATCTGTTTATGGGGCATGCGCAAGGAAACCATGCTGTTGAGATCGGTATAATTTATATAATGGTAGTTGCAGAAGCCCTTCGCGACACCCCACGAGCCCCAAAGACACTCAAACTGAAGCCCCGAAAGCCCACGAGTGAACGAGTGCTCCAATATTGCTTTTCTGAAGTTGACCGCAAGCTTTCCTGAGGAGCCTGGTGACGGCCCGTGCGGGTACGCCGCCAGATGGTCGCCTCGGCGTGCGTGATCCGCGAACAGAGCACCTCGCAGTGCTTTATGCCACATGGAAGCAATTGAAAGTATGCCGCCTCCAAAGACCAGAACATAAGCATTTCCTCGTCTCGTGAATGTTTTGTTTTCATCTTCGTACCCAAGCATCAGCCACAAGGTTGTCGCCAGGGAGGCATCATCGTTTAGGCTGTTGACAAGGTGTCGTTCCTGGTTCGTTCCCAGCCATGTGTTTATATCTGTGAAAAAGTTTATATATCTCCATGTATATGTACGGAACATGCATTATTTGTTCGACTGTCTCCATGCCTTGACAGGCTTTCGGGTTTAGGCTTCAGCGTGCAACTTCGTTCCATGTGGTTCTACGTCCCGTTTTCGCAGAAGCAGATGGCAAACTAGCCTGGCTGCCAACCCCAAGAAGTTGGTCAGAGCCAGACGGATTTGCAGCAAGTCCAGAATAATTACCAACCCTAGACTCAGTCGGCTGATAACACAAACAGGAGTTTCCGAAAATTAGGGGTACCTGATTTGGGGATCCTTATGATAATGATCCTACTATGTAAGGTACTATATTAGCGTCCCACATGGGTCCACCATTTTTGGAAACCCCCAAATCTGGTCCCCAGTTTGCGGGACTTCTGGGACTCGAAGTCCTCGAATCCTGACATCCCCAGGAGGAGAAGGCGGGGAAGATTGCGCGGATGTGGGTGAAGCAGGATTCGGAGAACCTCGGACCCGATCCGAAGGCAGGGCCGAGAGCACGCATCCTCATATCCATGCCTACCTTTTCCGTCTTTCCATATGTGTCAACCTATGCGTCCATCTAATTATGTATGTATGTATGTAGTTATCTATCTATGTATCTATCTCTCTACCTACCTGTCTGTCTATTCGTTTGTCTGTCTGTCTGTCTGCCTGTCTGATGGTTTATCTACGCATGTATGTCTTCAGGGATCTACGCACCCCACTGTGCACCTACTTAAACTGAAAGAGCGTAATTGCTTCCGGAAGACCCGAGGCAAAACCAGCCGAAGAGAGTGGGCAGCCTTGAGAGAGAGCAAGATCACTGCAAGCGTGTTTTTGACAATCTAACATCTCCCTAAACCCCTGAACCCCACTTCCAAGCTTCGAGTCGAAACTCTTGGTTGCACTACTTGTATTGATGTTTGAACTCTACAAGTTTGTGTTCTTTGGACCTGTACGTTCGTTACAGTTTCCATTCTGTTTTGGTTATATTACTCGACTTCCTTCTCCAGACCTTGGCTATTGCCACAACTGGAACTTTCGGTGTTTGAAGTTAGTTTGGTTGGCAAAGGACAGGACCGACAGCCAACAGCTTGTGCTGCAACGGCCAAATGCTTGTTATCACTACAAGTAGCTCGTGATGCAGCTTTGCGTTGAGCTCGTTTCGCAGGTAGGTGAGGAGGACATCATCGCGACCGAGAGCTACCAACAGTTTGAGGCCACGTGAACCGAGAAGCCGGGTGATAAGTTCCTAACCAAAGCTGCAGCCTATTGGGCTTCCGGTAATTGCTGGCTTCTGCCAAGTCAGACGACTCGGAGACACCGTAATCTGCACAGATCGCAAGCTACGGCTTTCAGATTTCGTTAGCCCTGCAGTTCCCGGACTGATAAGCCGCCTCAAAGAATTGCTGTAATATTGCTAACGGCTCAAGGGACACCTAACGGACTTGCGGGGGTTTCATCACGGTGTTACAGTACAATGGTGAGGAGAAGCTTGTGCTTCCCAACACCCAAACTGACCAGAGCCTCACGGAAAGAGTGCTCAGGACAAACACCCCTGTGATACTGCGAGGTGGTTCCCAGATCTGAGCCCAAAAGCCCTTCGTCAGTCCAAGCTTGAAATCATTCCGGGCCTCCTTAGGACTGGAATTCACAGGCGCTGGACAGTCCTGAACTCCATGTACTCCGAAGAGTAGTCCATGCACGACCCACCCCAGGCCAAAATCAAGGAAGCCAGTGGCCGTAGCTTGGGGGAGCGGTGTCTTGCCGAAGAGTTTTGGGGTGTCGAGGTGCAAGGAGGTGCGGAGTTCCGGGTTGGGTTGGGATCGACTGCCGAGTTTAGGATGAACCAGGTGGAACGCGTTGGGTTTTTAGCGTCAAGCTTTAGGAATTGAAGTGTATGGGTCGTTGTGTGTATACGTCAGTGCGTGAGGCAGAAGCTGGTTTTTCGTCGGCTAAACTCTGATGCCGAGGATCTTCCACAACTACCACGACATCCCTACAGCTGGCTGAAGCTGGCTGATCGACCCAAACGCTGGACTCCGAAAAGGTGCTCCTGACTGCTCGCGAGACGGTGCAAAATCGAAGCCTGAAGTCAAGTTACCGAGAATAGTGTGCAAATTGTGTGCAAATTGTGCAGTCAGATACTAGTGAGGCACAGGTGCTTGCGCAGATGTCTCATCGCAAGTGCACAACATCTCGGACATGCGTGCACATAGCACGCAGACACGTACACACAGTTGCAGACTTACATATACATGTAACATACGTAATACTATTCAAAATGCAGAGACATGTGTATACGTATTATGCATATACACCTACACCTGCACCGATTCAGAGACAGAGTCGCCACCTGGCTTCGAAAACCATGTGAGAGTCGGCTTTCAGAGCTTTTAGTAGGAGGGACTACGACGAAGTTAGGAAATTCCGAGGATCACTTCGGGGAAGACTACGAGGTATTTTCGAACAGACCATCACGGAGGCTGCAACGTTATGTGGCTGACGAGGGGTTCCTGCGAGCGGAAGCACAGCATTGCATCAGCCCGACTTCTAGCTATAAGCAATGCTGTGGAGCATTGTAGGCACCAGCACGTAATTAGCTCATGGGGGTGTTGCTTGGGTTCATCGCTGCGGCACCTATTGTGCCATTGTCCAGTTGCCCGTGTAGCACCTTTGCCAAAGCCTGATTCAGTAAGACTCTTAGAGCCTCAACCGCAAGCAGCTTGCAGCAGATTGTTTGACGCTTGCCGTTCCGATTCCATCCCAAACTACTTCCAAACCCTCCCTTTCGTACCTAGCTCCTACCATGCCCCACTGAGAAGTAGCGATTATGTTACAACTGCAACTAAGCTATGCAACAGAGACCTGTGAAGACGGTCCTTTCATAGTGCACGCCGGCAGGTGCTGCGTTGCATCACTTTGTGCATTCACACAAACTCATGAAAGCAGTTGGAAGCGCCACTTCTTCCCGTTTTGACTAGTGGTCAAAGGCTCCGCAAACTCGGGAGGTGTCGGCCTCGGGTTGTTTGCCATTTGATCCAGTTGGCTGCTCGATGCACGTGGCTCTCGCATATGAGTGCTTGGATTCCGATCTCGCCGTTCAAGAGCCTTTAGGTTTCAGTAAGCTTCGGAAGCTTGGGCCTTGACAAAACACTCCAAAGACGTGCGGAAGCCTGTTCGCCCGATCTCTGTGCCATCATGGTGCGCGCCCATGGAACCTCGCGCCGTAGCCGATATAGCTGTGGAGTAGCCCTGCTGCTAGCACAGTGCCGAGGTCGCAGTTAGCGGAGCCAAAGGGCTCGCATGTCGTGCTGTCATGGAGCGGTGGCTTTTGATGTTATGCCGATTTACAGTTAAGTTTTGCGCTTTCATCGACTAGCAGACAGGTTTTGGGGTTGCTATCATTCAGGTCTTACAACCCCTGAGTAGTGCCCTACACCCTCAAACCCTTTTTTTGGGATCTGGTAAAACTGGAGAACAAGATAATGGAAGGATGCCGTCAAGAGAGGGGTTTACTGAGCAACTTGGAGTCCAAGAGCCATCCAGGTGTGCGTGGCCTCTGAGTTTCGTGGGCCGGACGGGACTTCGAGCAACCGCAGGCGCCACAGCGAGTGCAGATGTCACCTACAAGGAGGAGCTGCAGAACCTGTGTGATGAGTTTCGAAGCAAGCAGGAGGACGGAGGTTTGCTGTGCTGATTAAGGCCTTGGGTAGACCCTGCCCACACCCCGAAGGAAGTCTTCACCAAAAGCTCGCGGCCTCCCCTCGGTGAGGAGATGTGGGAGACGATGGACGAGCAGGAGAAGGCCGAGAAGAAGTCTGGCAAGCGCAAAGCCAAGTCCAAAGCATCGCTTCTCGAGGCAAGTGCAGGGTAGGCTGAAGGATGTCCACTGCTGACATGCTCGCGGATGTAACCAAGCGCTAGTTGCACGAAACGCGGAGGCGGAGAGCTTCGCAGCACAGCGGGTTCAGCTTGGTGATGAGCTTGACGCCTTACGGAATAGCACTATCGAGGCCATCGAGCGTGTAGCCGCAAAGAAACTTGGCTGAGCAGAGGCTTAGGCTTATTAGGGGCATCAGGCTTTGAGGGGGCCTTCATCTACTCCTTCCCGGAGGTTCACGAGTTGTTTGCTACTTGTGGCTGCTTATGCCTGCATGGTGTCGGTCAGGAATCCCACCAGCGCTCCTTTGAAAGGCTGGAGAGGCTACGGCGGTGAGGATCCGAAGAATTGCGTCCTCAACGGGACCTGGAAGTTGATCTTCACGGATGCCGCAGATGCGACTTTCAAGAAGAGCAAGCGGGGGTCAGCCAAGACATTCCAGGAAATCGATGCCAAGGAGGGTTGGTTCATCAATTGCGTCGACTTCTCCAACCCCGATAGCAAGCTACAAGGCTTCCGCGTTTTCGTGGAGGGCAAGGCCTTGAACGACTCCGAAGTGGAGCTGATCTTCAGGAAGGTCCGGCTCTTGAGGCGTTCACGCTTCTTTCCCGAGATCACTATCCCCCTTCCAGGCCGGGACACAGCTTTCGGATCTTGCCAGATAGGACGGGAACGTTTACACATAATTCCTGAACCCGAACTCCACTGCTCTTCTGGTATGTAACTATCGGGTAATCCTGTGCAATGTACCCTCAACATTCTGAACCCTTTTCTGCGTTTGATTTGATGATTCGGGTCCCTACATTGGCCAAATCTACCATTCCCAGAGCCTTAATTAAGGAATGTGAATTTACCTTAAATCATGTTAGGGATCCTGCTACGTTTTTAGGGTTTCTTCCTTAATCAAGGGGTATTGGAGCCTCATAAACCCTAAACCCTATAGATCCCTGATAGAAGCCCTTCAAGGAGCCCTTCTAGATCCCTTTACAGGAACCTTTAAAAAGGAACACTTATAGATCCCTTTAAAGGAGTCTCTGGCTTACCTGCCAGGCCCTGGATTCCTTCGGAAAGTAGGCCGGCTTTTTGCCCGGCGCAAGGGTGGCGAAGTGAATCCAAGCGACCGTGGGGCAGGATTCCAGCTGCCCCTTGGTGGGTTTTGGGATGAGGAGTTTAGGGTTTAAGGGCCCTGGGAGCATTTAACAAGCTTTTCGCAGTTAGCAGGGTTTTTGTGTAGGATCTTCAAGTTTAGCTTGAGACTTCCAACTCTGTGCATGCGGGACGTGACGCTCGACTTCATCTCACCTCTTGTCTCTGCATTTGCCAATATTTTAGGGGAACAGGCACTTGCTGTCTTTTTATCTCCCGTATGCCTTATTACTAGTAGCTTTTTTTGTGCCTCGGGGCTTGAGCTCATTCTGCCCATTAATATGTCTAGGCTGGGAAATGGGTATTGAGTGTTTAGGATTTGGGTGGAAAAGATCAATGATGCGGCATGGGGCCTTCTGTTATCACTATTAGCGCATATGTAAAGACTCATCCGGTCTCACATGCAGTCAAGGCTTTATGTGGATGAAGATCTACGGATCCACCGAACCTTCGATGGTCTTTACTTTGTTCAGAAGCGCCTGGCTTGAGCTACGCGCGACTGACTTTCATATTGATTTTCGCCCAGGGGCCGCTTTAGACTTGAAACCGGACAGTTCGACATGCACGGTCAAATTCGCTTGAAGCAGCCTTCTGAAATCCTCGACGCTTTGAGGCAAAAGCTGCAAAAGTAGTCAACGGCAGTTACAGATTCCGAAACGCAGCCCTAAGCGACGAGCATTACAGCATGCAAGAGCTTCAGCGGTTAGGCTGGGACAGAAGCCAAGCCGACAGTGCGAGTAAAATGGTGGGAAGCGGAATTGCTGGCATGTAGTTTGTGGTTCCGGGAGAATCGGGCCAAGGGTGCTTGGGCTCCATGCATGGGTTGCCTACGCGCTCTCCACCACAAGGTAGCCAAGAGCATAGATATTCGTGGTGTCGGAGCTCTTGGTATGGAATGCGACATTGCGAGATATGTGAGACAGGAGCATCGGAAGGAAAGCACAGTGACTTTAAAGTCAACTCCGGCCGCTTCGCGGGTGATCTTCCCTCCTGAAAACTTCCCGTACTTAGACTCGACCCTGAAGCACACTAAAGCCTTAGCATCGGAGACTTCAGATTCCCTCACCCTAGTTCGAGAGGCTAAAGGACAGAAACGCCACGACCTGGCTTGGTGGCTTAGTGCCTCAGCTCGGACTGCGAAGATCTCTCATCTTAAATCTGCTGCCTTTGGCCCGAAGGGCGCTTTTTATCTCAAACCAGAAGGGCTGACAGGCTCTGACTCATGGTGGGTGCCATGGTACGCCTAGGCCAGGCGAGGGCCTCGCCAAACCGTCTGCAAAATTGGTGCACGCATTGTGGCATTGGTGTAGCTGCATACTACTGTACCGCGATGTGCTAAGCTGTTAAGCGAGCAGGCCTGTACTCGCCTATCGTTAGCAGTCAGTGCTCAGGTAAAACCGATATCGTGGAGTGTAAGGGTGTGTAGTGCCGTGGCTCGCAGTTCGGGGGTGTCGGCCACTGGGCACAACTTTACGAAGTCAGCTTCCAGATCCTTGGCCCATGAAACCGCAAAGGTAGATGTCGCGAGTCGCGCCGTATCGGATCAGCAAGCGTTTCCGTCAATGCCGGACTGGATCACGGCTTCAGTCGCTTCCACTATAACGGCTACAAATCGTCGGACCAATTCCAGCCTGTTTGCTATCTTTCCAAGACTGGTGTTTTCAGCTCGCCATACCTACAAGATGTTATGGTGGAAGGGCGCCTCTTTGCAAGCTCTCATCGAAACATTTGTTGCTGGTACTTCTCGCTCCTAGCTGCATTCGCTCTTGATTCTTCGGCAGCAGGTAGTGCATCTGTTAGAAGCACACGCTTCGGTGGAGTTTCCTGCTCACACGCCGGAATCTCGTTTGTAGGCGTATGGACCTGCATGGGAGTCCTGCGTCAACAGGGCATTCTTCTTTAGGGTTGTCCAAGACATCTGCACTTGGGGGGCTCATGGGCCTTAGTAAGTACACTTATAAGTGCCCGAACTGCGGTCATATCCAATTACAAATATAGGTACCTTGTTTATAACCATAGTTACTAAGTCCCATGAACCTTTAAAGTAGTATGTTGACGGCTCGGATTGGGGTCACCCGGTCTTCCAGCACCCTCTTTGCGAGGCTTGCTGGCCAGCTTGCTTTTCCCCGCCTGGGCGGACACACCCTACCAGCAGCCGGAGCAGATCCACATCGGCCTCGGCCAGAAGCCAGGCGAACCGTGCATACGTTAGAAGCTGCCCCGGCCCTGTAATAGTGGTATAATAATAGGAATATAATAAGGCCCTACTATAATCCGTATAGTCACTATTACAGGGTGGGGGCAGCTTCTAGTGCATACGTATGCTTTCTCAAACTGTGCCTCAAGTTGATGTGATAGGCTTGATAAACATTGAAACAAAGCCGCTCTTGTGCGATCATAGGGCGTTTTTTTGATGCGGCTGCATGTGTTAGTCTGTTCTGTCAGTAGTTCCGGGCCCTATCTGTAGTTCAGTACGGTCGGTGAAGGTGACTGGCAGTGGGAAGTCCGATCTTGGCATTTCGATGTGGTCTACCGTGGTTTTCTTGCGGTCACCGTTCGTCTTCTAGGATTCGCATCGAGCACATGGCTTATATATCCCCTCATTCCCACTTCATAGGAACTTTCGCGAGATACCTACGCAGAGTTGCAAGAGCGCAGCAGTTTGTTCGGTACCGTCAGCACCTGATGGTGACTGTTACCAAATACTGATCGTAGTGTAGGGCCGTCTGCTCGTGGGCGACACGATCAGAGATTCTGTGGCAGGCCGTCGCAACCTTGCATAGCACGCTGCAAAAGACCGTTTGTTGAGAGGTGAGATGACCGTGCATTGGTCCACCATCCAGGACCTGTGCGCCCTAAGCACCGGCCCTCGAACCCTTGAGAGCCCGGACGAGTTGTGCAATCTACGTAACCTGAAGCATGCACCTCTAAGCATGTCGATGTAAGCCTTAAGCTCCACAGTCATCTTCAAGTGTGTTGAGCTTAGGCACGAGTCACGAGCCGTACATTCTCCCTCGGTCAGGAGAGCTACTTGCGAAATCAGACTGCGTATGATCCTGGCGATTCGTTCGTGATGTACGGCCTCTCCAAGGATGCGCTCACGAGGACAACTAACCGAAGCCCGAGGTTCGAATCCCGCCAAGTACCAGAAGTGCCAGAAGGTACTGTAGTCAGCACGGGTGTTGTTCGTCGCAACGACCACGACATTACTTACAAGAGCCGCTTCTGTCGTGCACACCAACTGGTAATTTACATCCTTTCGACTCCTTACTGACGGACTTGGTCCACGAGTGTTCTCCCCCGGTTTGGCCACAGGACATCGAACGGCACTTCATTCCTCTTCCAGGACCGCACGGGGAGGAGCTTTTGGATTCTGACGCTGATCTATTCAGCTTTGGCTTCGGAGGGCTTCAAACTAAACTCTTGCGCAAGAGATTCCGACTGTCATTGCCCCATCGCGTGTCATGAAGGACTACGGCGATGAGCACCGAAACTTCACCATGCACATTGCGACGATGACAGACCTGCTGCCAAACAAGATCTACTACTACGTGGTAGGCGGAGTCTTGGTGGCAAAGCAACCCCCTGCCCTAGCCGCCGAAACTGTCTGAAGCTGCGAAGTAAGTTGCCGCGGACTTGTCTTTCCTTTCTATTGGTTCCCTGCGTGCTCCTCAACATGCCAACAACAGCAGCACCATCGAAACAACAATGCTCACACAGCGCCGTCACCACAGCCACAAGAGCAGCAGCAACAACAACAACAGCAACAACAACAACCACAACTACACAACAGTTATGTCGCTGCGGCACCAACAGCACCAGCAGTGACAACGACAACAACAGCCACAACGACGGTCATAGCAACGGCAACAGCCACCACAACAACAATAGCCACACGGTAGTGGCAACGGCGAGGACAGCGAGCGATAGTGGTAGCAGCAAAAACTGCAGTAGCAGCTACAGAAATCATCAGAGCCGAATTGGTGAAAGGACAGAGGACGGGATGGTCCGCAGCTCTGAGCTTCAAGAGCGCACCCATTTCTGCAGAGGATGTGCAGTCGCGGCTGCCCATGAGCTCCGGGGGGTGGGACTTCAATGTTTTGTGCTATTGGGTCTAGTCTCGGCTAGTCTAGGCTTTATGGAGAAGGAGGGTCGGGACTTCATGTTAACATGTTCTTGCTTTAATTTGATCTTGTCTTGAGAATGATGGATGGTTTATCTATTGCTGGTCTGAGTGCCACAAGTTTAAGGGCTCTTACAGTAGCAGGGGCAAACGGCTTAACTTGGCTGTTTTTGTGCCGGGCCCGAAGAAACTTCATATTTGCTTAGTTCCTGAATTGAACGGGTATCAAGTCGCTATACGTTCTGTAGACCTTGCATCTGACGACCCACGGCCCATCGGATTGATTTCAATTTGCTCCAGCCACAGCCGCTTATGCAAGCTTCAATCAAGCCTGAAGGAGCTATGCAGTCTATGGTGACCAGGGAGACTACAACGGGCAAACCTTGCCTTCATTGCAAATTGCTGCCCGGAAAGGCGAGTTGGACATGGTGCTGCATGTGCCCAGGATGCAGCTATTTTTCTGCGACGGCATGCGCACCATCTCTGCAAGGAAACGAAATTTGTGGGAGTGGGGGCATTCCACGTGCGGAGTGGCCACAAGCATCAGCACTTGCACGCGCGTTTTGCGCTGCCACTTGCACGCGGCTGTTGCGCTGCGGCTTGGTTTGAGGCTTCCTAGAGTATGCAAGGTGCAAATCAGCGACCGCTGAGCGGCTGGAGCTTCTTGTATGTTTGTCTTGAAGGCTTCACGTCCGACGAGGGGCTATTTCAGGCAACCTGCAATTATCGAAGTCTTGACTTCAGAGAGCAATGCTTTCTGGGTCGCATCCTCAATTCAGAGGTGGGGGACATGGCGTACGACTTTGATAGCGACAATGGCCGCAATGGCGACGCGTGGATGCGGGATATCCAGCCACTGTCTGCTGCCGTGCCGCAGCCTGGACAACGATTCTGAGGTTTTCTTTGCACACTTGGAGCTTCATACATCGTACTACTACTACTACTACTACTACTACTACTACTACTACTACTACTACTACTACTACTACTGCTACTACTACTACTACTACTACTACTACTACTACTACTACTACTACTACTACTACTAACTACTACTACTAACACTAACTACTACTACTACTACTACTACTACTACTACTGCTACTACTACTACTACTACTACCAATCCCTAGTGCTACGACACCAACAAGAGCAACAACGACTGCGCTGCCAGTCTCGTTTCTGGTTGGAGTTGAAACCAGTGCTCGAGCTGCGCTGAATCCGACGCCAGAGTTTAACACTGTCAGGCAGCTTTTCCAGTGAATCGGACTCTGTTTTTTTCAACTCCCCTCAGCCTGAAGGCATGATTTTTCGACACTTGAAGGTGCGCTTGAACTCGGCAACGTTGTTGCACCTCAGTTTTCTCGCAGTCCCTCAGGTACATGGTGTCGTCGGGAAACCACGAGCCTTGGCGAGCGATGGGATTGATCCACAAATGGATGGGAGCATTCTGACGAACAGCACCAGATGACAACTTGATTAACTTGATGTAAGGGGACCTGTATATTTGCGGCCGAGATAGCAGTAGGATATGGAACTGCAGGGCCAAGCTCTTTGCTGCATGAACCCGGCTCAGAGCTCATCGTAACTAGAGATGTGTTCCTCCCCAGGAGGCTGGTAACAACTTCAATCACTACACGCAGCGATTCAGGACGCCGAGTTGCGCCACGGATGCTGTTTCGGTTGAGGAGCACAAAAAAAACATATACTTGTTGGACGCAGGCCATATGAGACATTCCGTGCTGCGCCTGTGATGCGTTGAGAATCGTGGATTTGTGCAACCTACTGACCTCGAACCGGCAGGAACATGCCATCCAACTCTGGGACCATCACGTTCCCGGAGTTCGGCAAGGTACCCAACAACTGGTGCCATGGCTCGGATTTGATCTGCAAATAAAGCAAAGACCTCGTCCCCGTATGGAAAACGACATTTCAGGGCTGTGGCAGCTGCTTCTTCCGCGGCCGCACTACAATTCATGAACTACACATGCCACCGCCAGGACGGTGGAAACGACACATGGCAAGACTGAGAAGCCAACTGCCACTGGTTGACTGGACCGTGCCAAGCATCATCAACTTCATCCTCACCACAACCACCGCCGCCACAACCATTATGCCTTAGATACTTGCCCTTGTTTTGTTCTAGCATTTCTAGTGTTGTTCGTCATCTTCATGTGTGGCATTAGCACTTGAAAGTTCAGCTTGAGAGTCATTCTTGTCATCATATGATCTGTGTGGGACGTCGAGGGGTTGACAACAGCAATGCCAGGGCTGGGGCGTCCTTGAGCCTACCTGTAAAGGCTAGAGCCCTGGCCATCACCAGCATCATCGTTTTCGTGGCATTCTTGAGAGATGCCAGCACACATGGCGAAGCGCAGTCAAGTAGTTAGGCCTGCAGTGGAAGAGGTGGTATTCCTGGGACAGCGGCCTGGTCCACTTTGTGGCCCTTTCGACGGAGGCCGTGAACAAATTTCGGGCCTGGGTTCAAGTGCGAGACGCGACCTCAATGGTCTCATGCTCGGAGAAGCCTGCAAACCCAGACCCTGAGCCTGACCAGGTCTATACGAACGCGGACTACTACTCCATGGTGGTACAGCAATATGACTGGCTGGAAACCGATCTAGCTGCGGTGGACCGCAGCCCGACTGCGTGCAAGCTTGTGCCCCCGATTTCTTCTGTAGCTTCAATTACTGTGGTTGTACAAATCACGTGTATTGTGGTCCATTTTGGTCGCACGGCGCTCGACGTCCGTGCACGACATAGGGTATGTACGCGCGCAAGCATTTTGTATGGCATATGTGTACAAATAATAGATCACTGTAAACAGACGCTGACATGGCAGGGGGAGCGAGAAAGATAAGCTCGCGCTTGCTACTGGTGGAAGCCTCCCACATGCCGCGGCACAGAACCAGAAGCAGCAGCAACCAGAGGTGGTAGCAGCAGTATTTTAGCAGTACATGTTGTAGCAGCAGAGGCAGTAGGAGCACTTGCACTAGCAATAAGACGAGCACTGGCAGCCAGGTGCGAGCAGCTAAAACTCGCACTGGGTGCTGGCACAAGCACTAAGAGCACGAGCAGGAGTCGGAGTTGGGGTCGCGGCAGTAGTACTGGCAGTAGTCGTCGTCGTTGCAGTAGAACTAGAGTAGACTTACCGAGACAACAGCAGTAAGACGTCAAGGACGACGAACGTTCCTTCCGCTGCTTCTGTTACTGCTCCTACGAGAGGACTGCTTGTAGACTCTGAGTGCAGACGCGGCCGATGTGTCGACAACGCCGGATGGAGAGGGTATGGAACAATAGAGAACAGACATCATGGGACTTAGTAAGTAGGGTTATAAGTTCCTTAATTGGGGTTAATTATAAGTAATTATAACTGTAGTTACTTCACTTATAACCCTAAGTACTAAGTCCCTTGATCCTTTAAGTAGCCGGAAGACTGGGGCCCTGGCAGGCACCAAGACACCTTGGGTAGTTGCTCATGGGCATCGTCCGCTGTACTGCTCCTGTGATGTGTCCAAGCTGCAACATTGCAGGAAAATCGCCTCCCGGAAACAGAAACATGTCAGAAGACGGCTCAATCCTGAAAGCCGGAGTCTTTGCAGAGCGTAGGTGATGGCATCCCACGAGTGCTTTGATGCAAGCACAGCACTTTTGGTACAGGAACCTTGAGCTAGCTTGAGTTGCTCAGAACGACTGTGACACGATCGCGACCCTCAACCGGATGGGGTTCAAGCAGCCTGATGGAAGTTTCAAGCATCTGGGCCGAATAACCCTGCACAACCTGATGTGGTGAACAGATCAGCTCTTTGCGCAGCATGCAGGCAGATTTCGCTCTCTGTGTGTGTGTGTGTTTGCACTGCGTAGGTCTCCACGAGTGATTCGCCTGTTGTCATGGACACATGCGAATGTGTAGGCCAGAACTCACATGAAGTCCCATGCTATCTCGCGTTGGAGCAACACTAGCGCGAGCTGCGTCGGTACTGCTAGTGTGCCAGTGGTGCACATCAATGTGCTCCCTCATTCTCTTGGATGCCCTGCGAATGTAGCCAAAGCAAAACTTCGTCAACTGCCGCTGCGGGGAGCCAACCTAGAGAGCTCAAGCTGCTTGCTCTCCGAAGAAGTCCGCCGCAAGCTGCAGCGAGACATTGCGAGACTGATAGTTTGTGTTTGTCATCCTTCAAGACGGCCCAGAATACGTACATTCAACAACCCGGGGAAATCCCGGCCCTCAATCCAGGTATGGCCTGGAGGAGCTGTTCTATCGCCATGGTGTGGACATGTACATAGCAGGCGCGAAGTACGTGGGAGGCAGTCATGTTGAATGCCACATTCCTGGGGAACCCCGGTGCCTTTGCATTATACTACAGTACGCTCATTATATAGGGGCCCCCGAAAGGAAGGCATATGCAAAACGACTCCGGCGTGCCTTTCTTTCCGCGAGGCTTTAATCCAGAAATGCGGGGCGATAGGAAGGCATACGGTTTTGGTCCCCAAGACCCAAAACCTGAGCCCTGCGCCCGTGGCATCCGTTCACCAGCTGCATAACTTGAACATTGCTAGAGCCCAATCAAGACTTTTCGGCGTACCCAATGGAGGATGATAACTGTCACAAAGATCCCAGCTTCCAGCGTGCCGAAACCAAGGCAGTATGCTCCGCCCACAGCGAAGCAAAAATAACACCGTGAGGTATCGAACGTCGTTCCCTCCCCATGGTTGTTGATTTGCTGAAACACGGCCCCCAACAGATTAATTCACCAAAACTAGTGCTTAGGGGGGATACCACCCCCAGCGGTGACTTAGGCTAAGCGGGGGTGATCTCCCAAAACCACCAAAGCATTACAACCCCCGAACCCTTACACACAGCGCCCACGTATGCCTTCCTTTCGGTCCGGGATGAAGTTTCGGGGCTTCTTCTGGAAACAGACGAACTTGAACTATATAAACCCCAACATGCAATATCCTAAACTTAGCCTAAACCTCGTAAGAACAAAAACGCCCAGTGTTCACGGTTCCCAACACCCTAAACCACCAAAGCGTTACACCCAGAAACCCCCGAACCCTTACACACACTCCTCCCCAATGCCCACGTATGCCTTCCTTTCGCTCCGGGATGAAGTTTCGGGGCTTCTTTTGGAAACAAACCTTAACTGATATAAACCGCCACGTGCAATGTCCTAAACTTGGCCTAAACCTCGTGAGAACATAAACGCCCAGTGTTCACGGTTCCCTAATACCTTAAACCACCAAAGCATTGCACCCAGAAGCCCCCGAACCCTTACACACACTCCCCCCCCCCAACGCCCACGTATGCCTTCCTTTCGCTCCGGGATGAAGTTTCGGGGCTTCTTTTGGCCTTAACTGATATAAACCACCACAAGCAATATCCTAAACTTGGCCTAAACCTCGTAAGAACAAAAACGCCCAGTGTTCACGGTTCCCAATACCCTACACCACCAAAGCATTGCACCCAGAAACACCCGAACCCTCGCACACAATCCCCCCCAACGCCACGTATGCCTTCCTTTCGCTCCGGGATGAAGTTTCGAGGCTTCTTCTGGAAACAAACAAACCTTAACTTACATAAACCCCCGCGTGCAATACCCTAAACTTGGCCTAAACCTCGTAAGAACAAAAACGCCCAGTGTTCACGGTTCCCAATACCCTAAACCACCAAAGCGTTGCACCCAGAAGCCCCCGAACCCTTGCACACACTCCCCCCCCACGCCCACGCATGCCTTCATTTCGCTCCGGGATGAAGTTTCGGGGCTTCTTCTGGAAACAGACGAACCTGAACTATATAAACCCCCACATGCAATATCCTAAACTTAGCCTAAACCTCGTAAGAACAAAAACGCCCAGTGTTCACGGTTCCCGGCACCCTAAACCACCAAAGCGTTACACCCAGAAACCCCCGAACCCTTACACACACTCCCCCGCAACGCCCACGTACGCCTTCCTTTCGCTCCGGGATGAAGTTGCGGGGCTTCTTTTGGAAACAAACCTTAACTGATATAAACCGCTTCGTGCAATATCCTAAACTTGGCCTAAACCTCGTGAGAACAAAAATGCCCAGTGTTCACGGTTCCCAATACCCTAAACCACCAAAGCATTGCACCCAGAAGCCCCCTGAACCCTTACACACACTCCCCCCCAACGCCCACGTGTGCCTTCATTTCGCTCCGGGATGAAGTTTCGAGGCTTCTTTTGGAAACAAACCTTAACTGATATAAACCTCCACGTGCAATATCCTAAACTTGGCCTAAACCTCGTAAGAACATAAACGCCCAGTGTTCACTGTTCCCAATACCCTACACCACCAAAGCATTGCACCCAGAAACACCCGAACCCTCGCACACAATCCCCCCCAACGCCCACGTATGCCTTCCTTTCGCTCCGGGATGAAGTTTCGGGGCTTCTTCTGGAAACAAACAAACCTTAACTTACATAAACCCCCGCGTGCAATATCCTAAACTTGGCCTAAACCTCGTAAGAACAAAAACGCCCAGTGTTCACGGTTCCCAATACCCTAAACCACCAAAGCGTTGCACCCAGAAGCCCCCGAACCCTTACACACACTCCCCCGCAACGCCCCGTATGCCTTCCTTTCGCTCCGGGATGAAGTTTCGGGGCTTCTTCTGGAGACAGACAAATCTTAACTCACATAAACCCCCACATGCAATATCCTAAACTTGGCCTAAACCTCGTAAGAACAAAAACTCCCAGTGTTCACGGTTCCCGGCACCCTAAACCACCAAAGCGTTACAGCCAGGAACCCCCCAGAAACCCAAACACCCAAACCCAGAAGCCTTGAACAGCAAGGCCTTAATACTCTTAAACCCTTCCACGCATCATTTAAAGCAAAGCTGTGAGCGCAGCTGCTCGGCGGAAATATACAGGGACACCCTAAACCCTTCTAAGCTTCCATCGCAAGGGTTTTAAGGGTGGGTCTGCATTTCGGGATTTAGGGTTTCTAGGTTCAGGGTGTCTAGGTTGCTTAGGGGTGTCGAGTTTCTGGTTTTGGGGGTTCTGTGTGCAGGATTTCTGGATGCAGGGTTTCGGGCTTTTTCAGGGTGTGGTGGTATCCAGTTTCTGGGTTGAGGGCTTTTGGGTTCGGGGTTTCTGCGTTCAGGGTTCAGGAGTATTAAGGCCTTGCTGTTCAAGGCTTCTGGGTTTGGGTGTTTTGGGTTTCTGGGGGGTTTCTGGGGTAACGCTTTGGTGGTTTAGGGTGTTGGGAATCGTGAACACTGAGCGTTTTTGTTCTTACGAGGTTTAGGCCAAGTTTAGGATATTGCACGTTGGGGTTTATATAAGTTAAGATTTGTCTGTCTCCAGAAGAAGCCCCGAAACTTCATCCCGGAGCGAAAGGAAGGCGTACGTGGGCGTTGCGGGGGAGTGTGTGTAAGGGTTCGGGGGTTTCTGGGTGTAACGCTTTGGTGGTTTAGGGTGCCGGGAACCGTGAACACTGGGCGTTTATGTTCTTACGAGGTTTAGGCCAAGTTTAGGATATTGCATGTGGGGGTTTATGTGAGTTAAGGTTGTTTGTTTCCAGAAGAAGCCCCGAAACTTCATCCCGGAGCGAAATGAAGGCATGCGTGGGCGTGGGGGGGGAGTGTGTGCAAGGGTTCGGGGGTTTCTGGGTGTAACGGTTTAGGGTGTTAGGAACCATGAACACTGGGCGTTTTTGTTCTTACGAGCTTTAGGCCAAGTTTAGGATATTGCACGTGGGGGGTTTATATCAGTTAAGGTTTGTTTCCAAAAGAAGCCCCGAAACTTCATCCCGGAGCGAAAGGAAGGCATACGTGGGCATTGGGGGGGAGTGTGTGTAAGGGTTCGGGGGCTTCTGGGTGCAACGCTTTGGTGGTTTAGGGTATTGGGAACCGTGAACACTGGGCGTTTTTGTTCTTACGAGGTTTAGGCCAAGTTTAGGATATTGCATGTTGGGGTTTATTTAAGTTAAGGTTTGTTTGTTTCCAGAAGAAGCCCCGAAATTTCATCCCGGAGCGAAAGGAAGGCGTATGACTTTTGGACCCTTCTGGTGGCAGCCTGAAGTTGGGACAAATTTTGGGGGCCCGAACACCCCCCAAAAGCCTTCCTATAGGTCACGTTCCATATGCCTTCTATTCGGGGCCCCCTATAGATCCCTTGTAGTAGTCCTTATATAGATCCCTTACTTTTGTGGATTCCTTATAGTCTGATCGTAGCCGCGGGCGTCGTACCTGACAGGGCTATGCAGGGCTTTGGGTCTGAGCTGTTCTTTGTCGGTTTTGCTTCGACCTCTCAAGCCCTTATAGTAATATTAATACTAATACTAATACTAATCGACTAAACCCGAATCTCTCAAGAAAGCCGTTCACGCCAATTGGTCAATGTTTGTTCTAGCTGAGTAAAACAGGAGGAGTAAGAAGATGCGCGTCCACAAGGCAAACACGTTTGTGATTCCCAACTTGTGTGTTTCTGTGCGTCTCAGCTTTTCCTCCGGAAGACAGTGGCGAAGATCCCCTTCGTTGCCCATGAGTTCTGAACTGGGATAATGTAGCCAAGCGGCTTGTAGCAAGGGAACATGGGTCCACGTGGGCGTACTATCTGTCCTGTGCACGCATGTGTGTAGTTATGCGTGCGCATGTATTGCAAGGTAGCCGCACATAACGTAAGGCAATGCATGCATGGCTTCATGTATGGCTGTTGGTAATCATGCGTCCATGTAGGTAGGTAGGTAGGTAGGTAGGTAAGGTCAGTGCGTGTGTGTGTGTGTGTGTGGGTACATGCATGCATGTATATATGTAGACATGTGCTGTAGTGCTGGTGTATATCTACATATGCATGGCCACCTACTGGTGCCAATGCTCAGCCTCGAAGTCGCTTAGCCCTGTGCTTGCACAGTGCCTGGACCCCCTCCAAGCATTAATGGGTGGTGACCCACAATGCACGTCGCCTCTGTCGGGAGGGTGAAGATGAAAGGTTGGGGTTTCAACGCGAGGCCAACCAGGGCCTCAGGGTTCCCTGATGCGTTCAAGGTGAGAAACTCCCCGAGACCAGAGCTTTCATGACTTCTTATAGGTTAGGTCTCTACAGTATTCAAGATCAGTTGATGGAGGTCACGAGCACAACTACGAGCGCATGTTTGACGTTTCTCCGAAGTGGAACTCAATGATGCCATGGCTGAGTGGCGTCACAACTGAAAGCACGATCGACCCGCCGGCCACAACATATATCGTGACAGGCCATGCAGTTTAGGTTGAGGGCTTAGGGTTGTAAGCTGTAGGGTTTCGGGTTAGGCAGCTGTTCCGGGCGAGAGAAGCTTGCTGCAAAAGGTTTAGGCTGTTGATCAAGTTGTAAGTGCATGAGGTTCTGAAAGAACCGGAGAGACCTTCAAGCTTGGGTGGGAGCTGCAGGTTTGTCCTTGCTAGGATTAGAGATGTGTAAATCTATCTGCAGTGAACACATGGCACTGTACGGTCAACAGCGTTGTACACGGGACGTTGAAAACAGGACCGACAGAGGTATTGCTCTTTGGCAGTCATGGCTGAAATTGACCTGCTTTAGGGTGTCCTCGCTTCACCTTTCGATTTGTTGGATGCATCTCCTCGCTCAAGGGTCCGCCGGGAACGTCGAAGACCACGAAGCCTTCACGCGCCCAGCTCCGAGAAGGAGCGCCAAGCGTCTGAACACTTATGGCTGGTCCAAGATGACTGCCCCTGAGCTGAGCTCTTTAAACGCAACGACAAGTGTCAGCCATGCAATGTTGGTACAGCGAGTGTCTTTTCCCTTGTCTCCTCAACATGTAAGGGTACCCAGGACCCATGAGAGCCGCTTGCATTCTAATGCATCCAGGAGCCAAGCTCCAGCCCAAGCTCAGGTCTACAACGCCAGCCACATCTACTGGCAGCAGTTTCAGACAGATTCGGGACAGCCTCCAAGCACCTGGGGCCAGGTCGTGGATGCTACATGGCTGGTCCAGAACCACCACGGCCCCTTCTCATACCACCCGCGTCGGAAGGAGGTAGAAAATTCGGGGGTCGCAGGCTTGCGCCCCGTGGACACGATCAGTGTCGACATGTCTTTTTGGCCCGTAGGTCGCCGTCTGCAGATGCAGTGCAAGCATGCAGGCCACAATCAAGCGCCTGTGTGCAGCGACCAAGACCATTCTAAGCAGATGGCTTCCAAGGGGCGCTGGCAGTACACCAAGTCCATCGACTCTGGAAACCCAGTGGACTTTGTTTAGTGTGCTGAACAGTAGTAGATGACGGGAAGACTTCAGAAGAAGGTCCTGTCAATGCGCAGTTCGCTTTAGAGATCCAAGCCCAGAAAGAGGACGCCGAACCTCCAGAATTCCTCAAAGTTGCTTCGCACCCAGCGATTTGCGCGAAGGGAAGCGACGGGGAGTGAAACCGTTCGTGGGAAGCTAGTCCGCATGCTGCGAAGCTTCCCTATCGGCCCTGAGCACAAAGGTTTCGAGCTAAAGAAGTATGCTGGCCAGACAGAGATTAGCTCGCAGGGTTGAAGAAGCTGAGGGACGTCGAGGTACCAGGCTTTTAGAAAAGAGGCGGGATGTGCGCAGGCTGTCGCAGGTCTAGAACGATAGCTTTGTCGCACTCTGTCGTTTTGGGAGTGTTACTCATCAGTGTATTTCGCTAGGCTAGCTCTGTAGCCACAGACACCGACGGCTTCAGGTAGGTGGCCTGCTCATGGAATCTCATGGACAATCTTACCCAGGTTCAGTCACATGTCCAGTCAAGGAAAGGAGCCTGGGATCTTCGCATGCTGTCATCTTCACAAACCGCAAGAGTCGGCAAGTGCCAAGATGTGCAGACGGACCGAAAAAGAGCCGGAGGTGCTGGTTGAATCTTGTCCCCAGAGCTACCGGAAGGGATTGTGCAACGATTGCTTGAAGCTTCTTTTGTGTTGCATGCTGGGAGGTCTGTGTCTAAGAAGCGCTCCTGTGAAGGCCATCGTCAATCGAACAGAAGTCCTCACAAGACATGGCTATTCGGGTTGCTGAGTACAATTACAACACAAAATGCCCGCAAACCGCCAAAGCCCTATCCTGATTATGAAGCAACCCACATGCAGCTCTTTTCCCCCATGTCCCTGGCCGACAAACCGAACCAACGGCCATTCCAACCCCATAGTCATCAATGTCGCTTCTGGCTCAAGACTTTGCCGGGTTCTTCCATGACCCGTGCAAATGAATTTCAGGCCCCTCGCCCTGGATGCCCATGGCGTGTCCATATGGCGCGACGCAACTTGGCAGCCATGCGGGTGCATGGAGGGCTCTCAGCTGTCACACCCTTGCGGTCAACATCCTTGCAAAGGAATATTCCCACAATGACACAGCTGAGCATCTGCCGTCTGCAACAATGGATTGATTGTGCGCAGGTGGGAACTGTTTCTACTGGTGCTGTGGGCTTTCGACAGTTCTAAAATCACAGTTCGATTGAGCTGTCTACTTTAGGACCCCCAAGCTGTGCTGACAACCCTTTCACAAGAATCCCGTGACACCACAAGGGAAGCTATAGAATACTATAACATACTATAACACATGATAATATACTACAGTGACTATAACATACTTTAACATACTATAACATACTACAATACATGATAAGATACCACACATTCCAATATGCGAAAGCCCTCGATCTTGAGGTGGGCGAGCAAGCCTAGCACATCTGCCTTGGTGGCACTTTCTCTGGCTTGCTTCGCCTTGCGAGCTTCTTGGTTCTGCTTTCGGATGCAAAACGAGTAATAGTAGTAGTCATTGAATTAGAATTTATCGCAAAAACTATTTCTATTTTTGTTTCTATGTTTACTACTAGTATTACTACTATGATTATTAGTAATATGGTTACTACTACTACTACTACTACTACTACTACTACTACTACTACTGCTACTACTACTGGTACTACTACTGCTACTACTGCTACTACTGCTATTACTGCTACTACTGCTACTACTGCTACTACTGCTACTACTACTACTACTACTACTACCACTACTACTACTACTACTACTACTACTACTACTACTACTACTACTACTACTACTACTACTACCAATCCCTAGTGCTACGACACCAACAAGAGCAACAACGACAGTAGTAGTAGTAGTAGTAGTAGTAGTAGTAGTAGTAGTAGTAGTAGTAGTAGTAGTAGTAGTAGTAGTATATGGGGGTCCAAGGAAAGTCAAAGGAAGGCGGTCCAGGCTCTTTTTGGGCAGACTTGCGCAGCTGCGGTTTGCAATTCAAAGCTTGTGCTGCTCTTCGATTTGATGCTTCGGGAATGCTTAGATGGACGTGCTCACTCTTCTCGATCAACTGAGGCTTCCTCGCGGGGGGTGGAAGGAGGACATGCATCATGGCGAAGTACAGTGGAGGGTTGTGAGTTTCAGCGTGTTGGGGTTTGCTCTGTGGAAAAGGGAGCGTTCACAGCTTGAGGATTTCGACACGGGACTGGGGCTTTTTGTGACAACCAATTAAATGAAGGGATCGTCCTTGATAGCACCATGCCCTTGATTGCTTGTTCCAAGAAAGATAATGCGAAATCCGACACAATTAATTACCCGTCGAAAGCCCGGCGCCTCCAATTCTTCCTACACTTGCAAGGAAGTATAGTGAGCAGACTTCTGAACTAGCCAAGCATTACCATCCCGCCGCTTCCTGAACATCCGAGTTCATTCGTTGACACGAGCCACCAAGCCGACACGACAAGCTCCTGAAGTAAGCTGCGAAAGTCTACATAGGCTTTAGATGAAGCCTGCCTGTAGGCTGCAGAAGAGCCGTGACTGAAGGAATGCAGCCGAACTGAGGTAGTGCTTGCCGCCGGTGACTCTTTTCGGAAGCCGCTTCTGCGTCAGGAGCTGGGGCACTGAGGTAGGGGTTACTGCCACTCGTCGAGTTTAATTTAAGAATGGCAAGGCCTTGGGCTTAGGTCTTGAATGCTTGATTGACTAGTATCGTTTCGGTCGACAGACAAGGATCTGAACCCTTGGAATGTACAAGACCGCATGAGCCCTGGGACGCAAAGACCCTAAAAAAATCCTCGAGGCTTGAGACCTCATTGAAACACTACGAATCCTTGCATCTTAGCCTCAACTAACGAACGCTGGGTTCAGAGAGACTTGAAATGCTGGATGAAGCGGACGAACATTTCCCAGCAGGAGCCTGCGTTGCTGCAGAAGGCAGCTCGACCCAGCACGAGGCCAGGAGCCACAGGGTTCAAGTTGAAGCAAGGTCTGCCGCCTGGGACTTCGGAGCTTTGAGCGTCTCCCCCGGAGTGGCAGATCGGAAGTTGAAACCGGGCTGAAGGCACACGGGCAAGACACTCGCGCACAAGCAGCCCGCATGTGGTTCCAGCCGCCAAGTTCTGCACCACCAATGTAGATGACGGCAGAGTCTCGCATGCGCAACAACTGAAGCACGAAATAGAAGTTGGTGCATGATGTGATTGATGGTTGGCCGGGCTATCTTGCAGACAAAGCTCAGGACGTTCAACCAAAAAAGCTCTAAGCCCAAAGACACCCTGAAGCTTGAAGCCTCGAACCTACAAGTTTAGTATACCACAGTCTGCCTCGAGGAACGTCACCGTTGAAACTGCCCTGGCCGCCGCTAAGGCCTCGCAGGCAGGGCTCTCTTCCTATAATTAGCTGCCCCATTTCAGGGATCAATTCCTGGAACAGAAACGCTGCGGGAAGCACAGGGGAATACAGGGGACCTGGAGAGAAAGCAGTCAAAGACAAACTTCTCTGATCGCGCTTTGAACCCCCGCTGTGGCGCTCACGTTGTGGAGGGCAGGCACCTTCCGGCCTTGGCTCCTGGTGCCCCAATGATGTGGGGCCTGAATGGGCCTGCAAGGGAGCCAGAAACTTCAGGTTTCAGCTTTTCCCGGTGAATGTGTGGTCCCCCAAGTTTTGCTGCTCCTGCCAGCTTGACGGAGAAGACGATGACGACTATTGGCACGAATCCTTCTACTTCCAGTTGCTTCCGCACATGCTTTTGCTGCCGCGCCCTGCAGTTGATGTGACGACGACACTGGTTTTTGCAATGACTACGACTCACTCGCAATACCTGGGAGGGAGGAGGGCTGGGTGCCCGGTCTTGCAACTTGTGGCAAACGTGTGCTTCGCTGCTGCTCTAGCTGCTTCGATTTCGATGAATGGGCGTCAAATTCAGCTGGTAGGACTTGACACGTATGTATGCAGAAAAACTCTAAACTAAACCCTTTATCTGCAACAACTAAACGTTAAACTAAAGTAACTAAACCTTTTATCTGCAACAACTACAACTTTAATCCCCTTTGCACCGGAAGGCTCGCGACGACGACGCGGTGGCGTCGGCTTTGGCCCGGACAGCCTTGGAGCTGTAGCTGGATGGAAGTGGGCAGCGCAAAGGGGTTCAAGTTCAAGGTTTATGGGTTTTGTAGAGTTTTGGGGTGTGAAATTTCTGAAGGTTCTGAGGCCTTCTGCTTTTGCGTTTGTGGATTTCGGGAGCGGGGCTGGGGGTTATAGGAAATTTCAAGTTGCGAACGATTTCGGGGTGGCTGGTTCGATTCAGAGATTCAGAAGTTCATGAATCTGTACGGCAACCTTTCAGACTTCCACACCATGAAGAACGCTGGGCATCTCATGTCATGGAATCATGGCATGCAGTGCTGAGCTCTATTGATGGGAAGGGATTCCGAACTCAAGCCAGCGATATTGTTGGTAGAGGTTGTTCAGCCTGGGATATTCGATGTGCCCCTGCCGAGAAGCATAAATTTGCCTAAACACGAAATCCCCCGATCTATGGCCCAGATGCTCAAGAAGCTTGTGGTCAGTAGAAACACACGGCCCTCAGGCCTTTGCGCCCGAAACCGAACAATCGTCATGGATTGCTGTGACGACCCTTCGTGTTCGAGCGTCATAGATACGAATGCAACCATTGATGGCTCTCAACCACCTTGGAACCCTTCCCAGGCACCTCAGCATCAATGAGACTGTGCGTGCAATGGATGCTGCTGCAAGGGCATCTACGGCGACTACAGCGGACACGCTGCAGGCTGCAAGCTGTCCGATCCGGGTAGGTTTGCATTCGACGAGATGTTCTCGTCGGCTTACGGAAGGCTTAAGAGATTAGGACAAAGGCTTCAGCCGAATGCCAGAAACACGAGATGTAGCAGGAAGGCCTAGAGCTTGATGGCCATGATGGCCCTGCCCTATACGGCCCTAACTGCAGCCAGCCGGCCGGACTGCCCAACAGACATTCCGATGTTAAGCATACTGGACAGCTGGACAAGCGGACACCCGGTTCCGCCTATGCGAGCGTGGTTGTGCGCGAGGGGGCCTTCAAAGCTTGATCTTTGAAGAGGAGTCTCTGTCGCAAGCTGAACGTAGCGATGTACAGCGATGTGAATCTGCCGTAGTCGCAGAACGCCCAATGCTTCACAAATCAAGCACGGGGCAAGCCAATGACATCCTCAAGTCTATCATGTCATTACCCTGTGTCGATACGAGTGTGAGCGATGACAATTTAATCCGGGGCTCGCTTCTGTTCTTGCCACCTAGGCTGGCCAAAGGTACGTGTCATGGACTCGCAATGGTCCCTCTAAAGCCCTCACAGAACCCTTACCACAGACTGTTATTGCGCAAGAAAGCCTAAACCCTAAAGCCCTGTAGATCCCTTTATAGTAGAGCCCTTTAAGGTCCCCCATAAATCCCAAAACCGCCAGAGCTGTCAGGGACGGTCATCGGAGTCTCTGCGGGACTCGGTGTTGAAGGCGGCTCGATCGGCAGGGCTCTCCGAGCCGCAGGCCAAGGGTCCAAAAAAGTGCTTTTTTTTGAGGGCGGGGTTCCTTGTTCTAAAGATAGTATCATAGACCCTCAAGGCCCCATTCTAATCATTGAGGCCCTTAGCACAGGGTTTAGAGGGCTTGGGCGGCTGCTTTAAAGGTACTGCACAGGTTCTGCGACAGTTTAGGGCTGAGGGTCTTAGGGTTTTGCAGTTACGGTGTAGGGTGTAGGGGTTAAGGTTGAGGGGTTCCGGCTTAGCTTTTAAGGGTTTAGGCAAATACTTGTAAGTGAGCGTGTCCGACGGTACCGCGTCGCATCCACATCCCCTTCGAAGTAGATTCAATAAAGTACACTACGCTCCTCCAGGTTTTCCGGCAGGGCAAGGGTACAGGGATCCGGGGGTGAGGATCTGAACGCAGCTCAGAGGGTTTTGAGAAGCTTAGGGCGTTATGGGACGTTATGGATTGTTTCATTGTAACGTGGTTCAGGCCTGGCACAGGGTCCGAATAATTGATTGTTGTCTCCCTTTTTGTCAATTCAGGGCCGGGGGTTTGGGATCCGAGTGTAAGGTTGAAGGTCAACCTATACCCGTAGGCTCCATAGTAGTTCCTTTTGGAGCTTCACATATAGAACCCAAGAGGGTAACCCAAAAAGGAACTACTATGGAGCCTATGGGTAAGCGCTAAAGCAATTTAAAGCAAAGGCCAGTTCTTCATGAAATCTCCAAGACCGCCAGACCACTTCAAGTCGTGCAAAAGACATCAAAGGCTACCCGGCGCTGGTTTAAAACTACCTAGAAGCTCAAGCCCATCTTTTACGCAACTTCCCTGACTTCCGAAACTTGGTTTTAGCTACCATGTCATGATCAACTGGCAGGTTGGCCGGATAAAGACCGCCCTGGTCACAATAGACCACAGGCGCGGGAAGCATGACGGTTTGGGCGTCTAGCACCCTGCAAGACACGAAGCTCCGAGCCCACGGTCCTTGAAGTGCATTCCTGGGTTGCCAAACACATGTCTGGGCTAGAAGGCCGCCCCTGCGCATGTGGGTTTTGCTCGCCACAATGGAACTTGAGCCCAAGTCTTGTTCTGGCATCGCCAGGAACTACGTCTCTGTCCTGAATGTTATGAAAGCGGCCAGCAATGCCAGCAGACCCGAGCTATCCACAGCAGAGAAGGTGCGATTTGAATCAGAAGCTTGTGTTATCTGGCTCATGATGAGCTTATCTATAGACATGTCGGCTCGCCGAGCAATCGCGAGCACTTGATCCCCACGCGACCATCCACCGATTCGTCACAATGCCACTGCCTGCGAAGAATATTCGCTTGGCTGGGCGCGATGAGATGTTCTGGGTTGCGAGTATGAGAGCCGAAATGCCGATCATGATCCTCGCCTAGCCTGCCGAAAATGTTGTCAGGTCGCCGCTGTCGTTTCCGCAACTGCTGCGGCGAACTTCAGCCGACAACAGGCGGCCATGAAGTTTCGGGCGTCATTTTGGCGCAGAAACCCATCAATGTCAATGTCCTATCCTCACTTGTATGGCTCTTCCTTCAAGCCCGGCGGCTCATTGTCATTTCGTTGAAGAGTCGTGCGTAGACTGCCGTCCAGCTCTCGAGAATTACCAACACTAGTCAGGTCCAGACCCAGTCTCTTTACCGCTAAGACGTTGGACCTCATGTGACTGTGTAATTACCACTGTTTGAGAATTATAGGAGCGTACACCACGCAGTATTCTGCTTTTCATTGCATCGCCTGTCCATGGTTTTTCGTTGTTAGCACCATGACGATTGGACCAACTCCAAAAGTAATTGTTGCTGTTCTTTTGATGTTGAACCTGTACAGCCCTCAACATGCATCCGTACATGCAGGCCGTCCAGTTTCATGCATGCATGAGGAAGTACATGCCACCACGAGCATAGTACTCGAGCCGGACGTTCTGTCTACTGTCTCCATCTATGTCTTGCTCTATCTCCTTACACAGAGAAGCAGTCCAACGAGTGTTGAATCTGGAGCCCGTTTTGAGACGGTTGCCCGTTTGACTGCCAGCTTGCCGAAAGCAGTCTTACGAGAGGTTGTGCCTTTGTTTGGTCCATGATCAGGGACAGTCGAATTGTTAAAGCCGGCTTCGAGAAGTCCGTGTCGTATTCGGTGTTACAGCTAGGCGACTTGTCCATCATGCTTTCGGAGGGCTCGCGCTTACGATGAGACGGTGTAGACCTCTCGTCTTGCTGGCTGGGAGGGCAAGATGCCAATCAAGCGGCCATGGGAAAGCTTGCATCTCAGCACACTGCAGGTGGCTGTGGCAGCTGCAAGCGCGACTCGCGCAGCCGTAGGACGCCGCTGGTGACAAAGATTGTGGTCTTATTGGGGGTGCTCGGCAGTGCCTGTGCACATGTGTGCGAAACCGGCACTCGCCACCATAAGCCGCCGTCAACGCCCCAATTTCCCTTCACTCTTGAACTCTGAATCCAGACTCGCCCAAATTGCGGATTTATTTGACGCTCACACAGGATCCTCAGCCGCCACAGCTGCTCCTTTGTCGTCGGTGGCAAGGACCTGGGCATGCAATGTCCGGGTCAACTCCTCAAGCCAATAAGAACCGGACTCCTCGACCCAACTAATTTCGATTAGCTACCGTTTAGCGATGTTCCCCCAGAATCAAGTTTTGCATTCCACTTCGTGGTCATTCACTGGATTAGGGGTCGGGCAGACTTCCCAAAACCAATGGCCGCCTTGACCCGGAACCATTACTAAACCAACCGATGGTAGCATCATCCCTTGGCTGGACTACAGTCGATTGGAATCAAAGGCTTCTATATACTTGCAAGTAATTGCAAGGCGGCTTGACACGTTCCAGACCGTTTGTCTTGTTGCTCGGGTCCTCGGGTTCTCGCGGCTGCTACTGTAGTTGCTTGACGAGAACTTGCTAAGCTAGCGTGGGTGAAACTGGGAAATAGAACTCGGCATACATCTTCGTACCGAAACGGAAGAAAGGCAAGAACAGCCAATAGACAAAAAGGAGCCACACAGATAAGCAATTCCGACCTTGTGCCCTCCAAGGTGCTTTGCATTCTGTGGAAACCCTAAACCCTAAACCCTAAACAAAAAAACCCTAAAAGAAACTGCACCAAAGCCTTGTGTGATGAGTCAGTGTCGGGGAATCGAGGTTCCATGAGCCGAGACGGCTCACACGATCAGATCATTAGCAGAGCTGTAGGTATGTATGGATATATGTATGTGTTTATACATAATTAAACATAAGTAAGAGTAAGTACATAAATATAAATACATATATATATATATATGTACATGTAATTATCTATACATATTATCCCTTGCATGCATCAACGCCAGCTTTGGGCTAGGAGCGCGGCAGCTGCGGGCCTCAGCGTCTCAGCACAGGCGGCCGCCGTGGCGGCGGTAGGCTGCTTGCCGCCGTGTCAGATATTTGAGATTCAAGAGTCGTTGTGCCATTGTGTGCCCGTTCTTGGTCGACTTATCTACGTATCTACGTTTGTAAGTTCAGACGCACCCAAGCACTGGTGCGTCGTGGATGCCATGTTGCATCATGCAGCCACACGTACACGTAGGACACAGACCGGGAATACGCCGCGGCTGTCGGTATTACACGCTCCGTAGCGCGAGTAATCTAATTCATCTGCCTTTATCCACGAACGTCTGAGCAGCATCTGCAAGACGCATACAATTTGGAGTTCCCAGCAGAGCTCACGGCAATTGCTCCCACTTTTGAGTTTCCAGGTGCTGAAAGTCCGCGCTCCCAGCTGGCCATCGCGAACATGCCGGCTGGCAAGTTGGGAGCAGCGAAACAACCAGTGGCAGGAATCTAGGGAGGACCCTGTGCAAAGGTTTCCAGGAAAGCTGTTGCAATGCAGAGTCAGCGCAGGGATCTGTAGTTTCCTGTGGGAACGGGTAACATGTCACGCGGGCCTAATGAGCTTCAGTCCCTGCATATCTTGTATTTGGTGTGAGGTTCAGTAGCGCCGCGGCAGCTTCCGCGACGCCAAACATGGATATGTGGACCGGAGGTACTCGTGTGAGTTGAATTTTGGGAGATTGTGACGGTGAGCCTATCATTTAAATCTACGGGCGGTGTCTTCTTGAAATCGTTCGTGGCTTCGGGACTGGCCCCTGCCCGCTGCCCCCTTCTTTTGCGCTGCCCCGCCCCTGCCCTGCTTCCTGCTGCCGCCCTGCTCTCTGCTTCGCCTTCGTTGCCACGGGCAAAATCTCATGTGAAGCTTACGTCCTCACTACCCAGAGGCCCCAAAGTAGTTCCTTTTTTGGGATTACCCTATAGGATCTTATATACGAACCCCACAAAGGAACTACTTTGGGGCCTTTGGGTAGACAAGTAGACCGGCCACGCAGACCTCCACGCAAATCCAAGTGCTAATTGGAGAAGCCGTGAGGGCCAGTGAAGGCGCTCTCTAATGTTCAAGTCAGAATCATACCCATAAGACCCATAATACCAAAATACAATAAAGTTATAATGCGAAAACACTATAATACTATAATCCTACAGTACTATTAATACTATAATATACTATAATATACTATATTCTATACAAGCCCCGACATCCAAAGCATCCTGCAGGGTTCGGCTATGGAGAATCCTACAGCGACGACGAGGAGAGGTCCTGGGATCCGGAAGCCACCAGCGTCGCTGGGCTCTTCTGATCCAGTGTCTTCTTACTATTGGTAATAATATGGTAGTAATATGGTAATAATGTGGTAGTAATAAAGTTGATTCTTTAGCTAACCATTGATATTGGAGGAGCTAAGGAGCCAGGGATGATGATAATCCCTGTTAAATAAGGAGCTAAAGAGCCAAGGGACAACCCAAAACCACTGGCTAGTCTTCCCAGGGTAGAACTCAGTGTTGGTTCCTGGAAGCTTAGAGACTTTGAGGTAGAAGATGTCTCTAATGTTTCATCACACCTGATGGAATATGTCCGGGACAGTCATGCCCGACCCCGAACGCAGACTGCAGAATTGGGCAACTCGTCTCCGCGAGGTCCATAAAGCCGTCGGACTTGGGAAATGTTTCGACCCGATTCAGCCCTAAAGCTCTCGCATAACTATTGATTTGCGCTTGCAACTAGAAGACGCAGATCTTCAGTACTTTGACACACTTACTGATGGGAGTTAGAGGTCCTATAGGATGTGTCCGGCTGCAGCTCGAAGATGTGATGGCGAGACAGACTTCGCTTCGGGTTCAGCCTTCAGAGTGGTCAGAAATTCCTGCGTTTGTTTGAGGTCTGGGCTCTGAGAAATACGATGGCAGTCAAAGCCAGTGTTCCATAATAGCTATTAGGATGGACACACACACACACACACACCTCAATCCCGTCACCTTGTCGAAGGCTTTTGTCTTAAAAGCCTTATAGGTCAACAGAGCCCCTACAGATCCGCACAGAAACCCTTTCAAACAAAGTCCTCGCGGAGCCGTCCCTTTGGCAAAGGTCGGCCGCAGGGTCGCCGAGGAGGTTTTGGATGCCCCGATCCCAGAGAAGGACGGCTCAAGAAGAGTGGCGCTGCCTTTCGGGGTCGGACGAAAGAGTTTAATGATAATCTCCGTTTCTAGAGGTTCTCTCATGTGACTGCTGTTTTGTAATAACCTTTCTAGTCTCAGTCCCGAGCCCCGCTGGCCCCTCGTTAAAGAGCGGATTCGCTAAAAACTTCGGGGGCTTCCTCGCTGAGTGTTTTAGGCTTTGGATCGGAGCTCGGATCTTCATTTTGAGTTTAGGGGTGTAAGGTTTAGGGGGTTAGGGGTTTAGGGGTTTAAGGTTTAGGGGGTTAGGGGTTTAGGGGTTTAAGGTTTAGGGGGTTAGGGGTTTAGGGGTTTAAGGTTTAGGGGTTTAGGGGTTTAAGGTTTAGGGTTGAGGGTCGAAGTGCCAAGGAGGGTTCGGATCTTCTCGGGTTCCCAACATGGAACGTTCAAGATCTCGAGCACAGATAGTAACTCGGATTCAGCCTGTGCGATGTGGAGCTTCAGTTCGGGATCGGAACAGCTACCCGCAAGAAATGTGTTCCGGCAACGTGAGCAGCCTTAACATGTTCTCAGGCGCCTTCTCCTTCTTCGTGGCTCCTTCTTTTTCGGATGTTATGTTGTCCCAAATCCCGCTGATCCCACTTAGCACCTGACCTGAAACGGCAACCGCACAAAATCTAGGATCTGACTCACGGAGAGGTGCGAAGGGGGTTCCAGAGTGGAGAGGTCGAAGGCACCAAAGGCAAAAGGGAATATAAGCAAACTGCGGAAAGCGTCGGAAGAGAGGTTAGATTTTGTTACCTGCCCGCGCAGCGCAGACAAGACGAGGGCCTTATATAAGGTGGTGTAATACACGCGCTTCGACTTTGCAATGGCTCTTGAGCGGGCTCCTGAAATGAACTATAGCCTTGCGTGATATGTAGTTTATCAATAATTTAGGCCTTCGCAGACTTGAGAAGGCTTTTGCCGTTTGAGGCGAGTCAGGAAAGCACGGAAAGAGGTTTGAAGAAATTCCGGCCATTCGTTGGTCAGGAGAAGAGAGCTATAGTAGCCTCTGCAACCTGGGCAGCTGCCCGTGCCGAAACGCCCAGCCGCCAGCTGAATGGGACTGCCGGGATGCCCGAGGAGGTCGCAGGTGGCTTGGCTTTGCCAGAGTTAATAGAGTGTCGCGCCCGCCCTGAATGGAAATGAGCTTTGGTAGAAGCAACGACGACTACTCGACACATTCTTGGGTTAGATCTACACAGACTTTTGGGAAGAGCACATGAGTGATGAGCGGCGATCTGGGCTGTCCGCAACACACGGATTTCGAGGTGACTTTCTCGCTTTGAGCCGTGCATCGCACGCTGCTGGCTTCTCGGACAGCGCCACAGCAGTCATGAAACACCAGTGGCAGGACTCGTGAGCATATCATGGTTACGTGAAGTTTTGCAGTGCCAGCGTCTCTTATGCCAGGGACGCGGAGTCAGATACACAGAACCAGCTGGCAGCGCAAACAGCGACGACACATGTGCGGTGAAGCCGGTCTAGTGCATGTATAGTGGGGAGAGTTTGGAATCTCGAAACATTTTTGCGGCCACCTTTGCCCACAAGCATGTTTCAGCACTGACTTAGGGCCTCAGGACTCGTAGATGGCGGCTTGGCTGAGACCGAAGTTGAAGAGTTGTACTGTAGCATTCAATCCTCACACAGAAAGGGTGTGCGGTCTACTGGTCAAAATATGTTCGGCAAGGAGCCTTTCAGAGAACAGGAGTGAGTCCTGCCAGGTCCAGCAGAAGGAGAGAGAGAAACGAAAGCGCTAGTGTGTCAACCGCCGGAATGCAATGCTGGAGGGGCTCTTCAAGCTGGGTTCGAGGACTGTTTTCCAAGTTCTAGTTTTGAAAGCCAGCAGTCATCGTCCATGACCCATCTGAATGGTGAAGTGAGAATAGTGAGACCACTTCCACCTGGGAGGACATGAGCCCCCAACAACGTGCCGTCGCGGCGAAAGTCCTCGAAGCCGTGTCATCTGCGCAGGGCCGGAAGCGACCGCGACAAGGATTGGGTCTGTCCCATGAAAACTGGCCATCATGCTTCCCGTGCATTTGTACCGATGAATCGTGCCTAGGATTCTCGAACTCGACATGGCCTGTGGTAGAGAGGTTTGGGCACAGTTTTTCCCGGATCTCCTGGACCTTCTCAGTTGTCGCAGCGACTGTTTTACCAGTCCCCGATCTCTGAACGGGCCATAAAGACCCTGCAGCTTCTTAGCTCGAACCAAGGGGCTCGAGACACCTCTACTGCCTCTACTCTTGCCAGGTCTCTCCAGTCATTTAACGTTTCTAGAGGCTTTGATGCTTGAAACTAGAACAGGGTTTAGGGGTGTACTGCCAAAGGAGACTTGCATCTTCAGTCTTCAGTTCGGGGTCTTTGGCTCCCTATCTCTGCATAGTGAAGCCGTGGCAACCAAGTCTGAGAGGACACATTAACATGTCACAAACCTATCAAGGAAGCTCCCTTAATCGAAATCAATGGCTACTTTAGTGCCAACCAACATTCGGTACATCCTGAAATCTGGGTCCACTGCCTCCATGGCAAGCACAACGGGAGTCAGTCTGATGTGGGCTAGGAAAGTCACAGGACTTTGACACATAAATGCATAGCACAGGGACCTCCAACTCCCGACAACATAAGCCATTGCACCAACATCTCCCGGACTTGCTTGGAGGATCATCTTCCGCAGAGCGCGTCGCTTCCGTCGTACGGGCATTGGAGGATGCAGGCGCGGGGCGGCGGACTAACCATGCTCTCCCAACCTTGCTATTGCCATCAACAACAGCCCTCACGTCCTCAGACCTATGCATCAGTCGTGCCACAAAATGTTTGAGGACCCCACCGGACCACCCCAATCCCCCCCTCGCCCCTCAAGCTTCCGAAAGACCTTGCTATGCTGCAGGCGTCCCGGCGAGCGAAGAGGCTACCTTCGCTGCTGAGGCCCTCCGCCACGGCGCGGCCGTCGAAGAAGATTCCCAGGCGCTTTCGACAGGGCAGGGAACGGGCGGGAGCCAGAAACGCAGGCAGAGGGCGGAAGAGGAGCCAGTGGCCGAAGGCCTTTTTTTCAACGCTACCGCTGTCAGCCTGGCAATGTGGGAGTTTCCGAAAATTGGGGGGCATACCTTACTTGCGGGTCCTTATCGTAAGGACCTTACGATTTAGGGTAGAACCTTTGTAGTAACCCTCATAGAAACCTTATGAACCCTGCAAAAAATCCTCAATGTCAAAGGAACCCTGTGGGAGCAGGTCGGGCCTGGCTCAAAGACGATCTTGGACGACATCGTCGACCTTGCGAGGTCTGCGGGCCTGAGCCACTGGGAGGCATCCTTTACTGTCCACAAAGGGGCCTTAGTTCCTATAAGTGTTACTATAAGGTTTATACTATACGGGTTTCAGGTTCTTAGTAGTCTGTCTGGTTCTTCGTAAGTAGGGAATGGGGAGAATGGGATTATGGGGACTAATTTTGGGGGGATTATATAGGGGGAATGTGGGAGAATGGGTTTATGGGGATTATTCTTTGGGGGGTTATAATATAGTGCTACTATAGGGATCCATTCTCCCCTTCCCTGCTAAGAACCAGACGGTTTAGCTCAAAGTGTACGAAGTCTGCAGTTTGGGGAACCGCGGTGTCAAGATGTGAGCTTGAATAAATCTGCAGTTTAGGGTTAAGGGTTTTAGACTCGCTAGGCTTGAGTCCAGTGGCAAGGGTTGAGTAAGGTAACTATACATATAACCAATTAAATTATGACAGGAGAGAGCTCGGCACCCTTCAATCCCAGGCTCTGCGCAGCAAAGTGGCATCCTCCAGGTGGTCGCATCAATGCAGCCCACGGAGCCATGTCCGAGATCCGTGCGAGAAGGGACAGTACTATAGGGGCCTACACAATAGCCGAAACTATTGTGGGGTTCCTTCTTATAATCATCGTATAGTGGGCCCCAAAACCCGATTCTAATTATTAAGGCCCCTATATTACATGCCTTCGCTTCTACATCACGTGCAGCCTGAGCTGCGGTGGATTGCATTAAGTGAGACATTTCGATCCATGGGCTATGGAACTCGCCTTGGATGCAAAAGCATCGTCATAGCTCAAAAAGAGCAGTGTCGTATTTGTTGAACGGCAGGTTGCCTGTTGCGAGAATGAAGAGTGCGCCCCTGTAGCTCGGAGCTCCTAAGTGATTCTCCGTGAGCAACCTCTGAGCACGTCGAAGCCCGTGAGCAGAAAACAGGAGAGGCGGGCCATCGCCAGCATCTGGGCAGCTGCCGGCATCTTGACTTACGGTAAACGGTAAACCCCATGAATGAAGTTGGACACCGAATTAAGGCCAAATAGTGCCGCGGCTCCCTATAAATTAATCTTAGGATTATTAAGGCCATTGAGTTTCCAACTTTTGGGCTTCTACCGTACCCAGTATCGAAATCGGAGCGGTTTGCGGACTTCGGGCTCTTGTTCAGGAGCTTCGTCCGGGCATCCTTTCATCTTAGCTTTGGTTCGCAGGGAATGGAAGAATGGTAGTAATAGTAGTCATACTTGTACCCCCTTCTTCCAGTCCCTACTAACCAACGATAAGTCATTCGCAGGTTCTGGGACAAGGAACTCCCCAAAGTCTGGTGCGACACATCACCCGAATGCCGGGGCATGGCTCACGCCACGGACTTCTCCTAAAGCCCCCGCAGTTTGGCTTTGGCGTCATGGTATCTGGCAATTTCTGGCTGCTACGACAGGCAATCGCAGTAGCACCGCGCCTTTCGTCAGACGTGCCCTGGATCCAGGCAAGACTTGTGCATGTCTCGTGGCATGCATGGCCGGGTGACAGAAAAAAGTAATGCGATAGAATTATGCAGACAGCGTTCAAATGCACATCAAGAGAGGCTGATATTCGGGTACTGGTGAGTTCATGTAGGACGTCTAGGAAGATTGGGGAGTGTAGGTTTGGAAGTTGTAAACCAGCATTACAGCTCTACTTCATGCTTACACACATATGTACACATACGCAAGTCATTGTGCAGATATAGGTTGCTATGCCTGTGATGTCTATATCTATATCTACATGTGTGTGTGTGTGTTTACTTATGCACATGCACAGACTTGCCTGCAGACATGCAAGAATAAAGTATATACAGTACCCGTGCAAGTACAAAAATAAAGCGACACGATGCGGTGCGATACAATACAACGCTATAAAGCAGGTACAAACGCATGCGTAGGGTACATTTACATCAAATTACATACTGCATGGCCGGAGGCAAGCAGTCGGAGAAGAGGCACCGGCAGGGGCTGTCATGTTGCAATAGTTGCATCTGGTTGCAATGAAAATATGACAGTGCCTTGCGTAGCTCGCACATGTTGATTTTGCCATGGTGAATGAGAGTGCGAGGTGAAAGACAGCATGAGAGACCAACCAGTATGTGGGTAGAGTCGTAAGCTTGCTTGAACTCTATGAAAGGAAAATCTCTCCTCAAGCCCGCACGAGGGAACACGAAGCAAGTAAGCTTGAGGTTGCATACTGGCTGAAGGCCACACCCTGCAAGCAAAAATCGGCATGTCGTCGAATTATTCTTGTCAGTGTGCTCAGTGACCCCGAACTTCCGAGAGGCTTCAACTGCTGCGTTGAGACCCTCTTGCTGCAATGCAGCTGGTTGTGTCCACATAGTGAAACTCCGAGCCAAAACGTATCGAAGCCTAGTTGGACAAATCGCTAGCCCGAACATTCATGCCTCAGTCTATCGCAATGCACTAGGCTGGCTCCTTCGACTCCTGCAACTCCTTCTGACACTCGGTCGCAGTGGGAAATCCCAGTCTTTTCTTCAGGGCCTTCGAGTAGCCTAATGCAGTTGAGTGCGTTGGCCTTGGGTTCGAGTTCACGCAGAGTCTTGGCACATTGGGCTTGAAACCTGTATCCAAGCCTTTTGATGTTTGGTTCCGAACCTTCCGGCCGGAAAGCTTCAAAGTCAAGCCCGGCCGGCTCAACCGTCCGCATGTTTTCTGTTCGGTATCGGACCAATGGCTGAAATTCAACCCCAAAGGCAAAACACATCCAAGCAGAAATCCCCAACACCTTGTCGTCATTGCTGTGTTCATACGTTTTCTTCTGGTTTTGGGAGCTTGTCGTAAGCTTGAAATGACGTCCAGGCTGCAAGCTACCTGGGATTTTCCAGCTCAGGTTGAGGGCCGAGGGCCGTTGACAGTCCCAATTACACCTGCTCTGAATTCTCATGACCACTGTTGTGGCATTGTACCCAAGGATCATACACAGGATGCCGAAAAGGCGCTTGAGTTGTTGAATGTCGTGGTCTACGCAGCCATTCAGGCACGGAGGGCTCGCTCTTGGAGTTCGCGTGTTTCTCACCGTATTTACACAGTGCGTTCCGGTGAGCCTGCTTCGAAGCAGAGGTCTTCGATGCAGAAACCAGCAGGTACTGTATTTCTGTCTGTCTCCCTGGCTGGCTGTCAGCCTGGCTGTCTGTGGATATGGATATGTATTTCTATGTTAATGTTCTTTGCCTTGGTATGTATGTATATGTCACTGTCTGCATGCACGTAGGTGTGTCGGCATGTAGTTTACTCAGTCATCCATGTATGCTTGTGTATCCGTGTGTGTGTGTGTGTCTGTCTGTATGTATGTTTGTATGCATGCATATGTGTATGTAGATGCACATGTATGTATGCATGTACGTGTGTATGCACGAATGCATGCATGCATTATACTCATACATGCATGCGTACGGTCATATGAGCATAAGTGCATACATATATAGCGTACCCCAGCACTAATATAACATGCGTGATCGCAAGAGTCCGACAAGTGGGAGCCAAAAACAACATGCGTGCACACAGACTTACATGACCATACATAACACTGCAAAAGCAAATGCTGCATGACACACATGCACCCTTGTGTTGGCATGCTACCCACATAGCTGGGTAGGTCTGTAGATAGCTGATAGATGTAGCCTGCGATGCAGCTGTCGAATGGCACCTTTGGCAGTGATATCGACACAAGTTTGGCCTGAACACGTTCACATGTGAGCTGCGAGGAAAGCTTGAATGCCATTGACCAAATAGTCAACTTCCAAACTCCCGCGAAAGTGCATATTGAAGAGAGTGCCACAACCCCACAGCGACAAAGTCAAGAATGTTGACTGGACACGATCATAATGAGGCTGGCGCCCCCCCGGCGGTCTTGGACAAGGCCCGACCAACCTATCCTCCAGTCTTTACGGGAGTTTAGGTTTGAGGCTTACGGGTAGGCAAAGTCTTTCGATTGAAGCTGTTTGGTGCGGCGGAGTCATGACCGTTTGAGAGGTCATGTAAGGTCCAAGTTGTATCCATGCCTATCTATATATCATTCTCCGCCCGTCTTGATTTAGCGCTGAGCAGGATAATATAGGAATACTTTGGAAGTGTGGGTCGGCAACAGCGGACCTTTTCATTGGATTTCCGGTCGTTGAAATGTGATGACAGCTTTGGGCCCCTTCAGAGCTTCCAGACATGCCTCAAGATTAACAACAGGAAACGAACCATGCAAGCATGTCAGTCTTGATGGCTGAACCGTCAAGAATGGTGAGGCTCCCTGAACCTTGCCGTACCCATAGGCCCCAAAGTAGTTCCTTTAGGGGATTACCTAATAGGATTCTTTATACGAACCCCCAAAAGGAACTGCTTTGGGGCCTTAGGGTAACTTGCAACTCACCTATCGGACTGCTGCTCGGACACAAAGGTAAACGCGCTGGCTCAGAACATGACCCCCGAAGAGCAGATGGCCGCTGCTGCGGCCGTCCTGAACTCCACGCAGAAGGCAAATTCCGGGATGGATTTGAAGAACAGTTAGTTCGGCTTGTTCTGCAGAAGGAAGCCGAGGCCACGACTTACGCTGCTGAAGCTTGTATAAAGTGCTCTAGTAGGGCTAGGCGGCATCATTGCGTCTCATGATGAGTCTGACGTGCGGTTCCCCTCTATGGGGCAGAGGATTGTACTTGTAGCTTTTTGCCAGGATCCTAAAATGAGAGGGTCTCCATCAACCACAGAAGTTGCGTGCAGGTCTCCCTTGTTTGGCACAAGATGTTGACCTGCACGGCCCCAGCTCGAACTTGAAGTTCTTTCGACCTGAAGCATTCAGAGCAAAGCCCCCTTCCCTTCAGTTTAAGTAAAGATTTCCTTAAACCATGCTGACCTCATGAAGCCGTGCCTGCGTCGAGCGAGTCAGTACCATGGTCCGAGCAAAGTCTGGAGACATCGCAGGCTCCCGAGGAGAGAGATCCGCTGGCTTCGGTTGCTGACGCCATCGCTCAGCATCGGAAGGAGGGCCGAGAGAGACCGTACTCTAGGGGGGCCCAGGTCAATTAGTCCCCAAACCCCCAGTCTCATTGCTAAGGCGACTTTTTCATGCCTGGGGGCACAGCTTTTGGGAAATACTGTGGGGACCTGAACAATCGAACAGGTTCTTGCGGTTCTAGCAATGCACAAATCTAGTAGGGAGCCGTTACGTATAACATCCGCAAATAATTGCTCAGGCTTCTGTATGGGCTGTTGTTGTGTTTCTCTTTGAGTCTTGGTTCAGGATGTGCTTTCATGGTTTCAGGCTGTGGGTATGCCTTCATTCCTTCATTCCGTTGCGAGAATGGTTGATAGAAAGGTGCCTCGATTCGTTCATCTAGTTTTTTCATTGAGACTGCTAAGCAAAATGCCGCGTCGGACTTGCTTCGTTCAATCCCGAAATCTGCTCCCGACTCCTGACTGGTGATGAAATACATGCATGCGTTTGTGCTTATAGAACATCTGTGAGCATAAAGCAGCTTGCTTATGCTGTGCCAGACAGCAGAGGCCGTGAAATGCTGGTATGCTAGCTCGCGTTGACGGCCAGATGCAGCAAACTTCTGTCATGAGGCACTGCACTTTCCAGGTTCTCCATTACATCCTAGTTCTTATCGCTGTGGTCAGGCTATTATCGCTGAAGAGCAAGGCGTAGGGTTTCATTGCACCGATTTACAGCTCTGCGCAAGACCCGGCTATGGTCCATTCTGATTTAGGCATTCAGCGGGTCTACTGACTCGGAGGCCGTTGAGGACGAGGACACCAAGCAGGATGGCGTCCCTGCACTGATTCTTGTCAGGAATTTTTGCGGGGGAGTGTAGGAGTTTCGGGTTTCGGGCTGTGTATCACTGGCTGTGAGGAACAACATCTTCGAGTCGATCGCCGCTCCGCCGGAAGCTGTCCAAGAATACGAGGTGTGCGGCACCGAAGTGAGCTTGAGGTTATCGGAAAGTTCCAGGAGCTGTGTGAAGCAGAAGACAACTTGCAGATGCCATCTGTGAAGTCTTCGTGAGCATAGGATATGCATGCTCTTCTTCCCAAGGACAGTGAGGATTTGCCCGGTGTGTCTCGTTTCGAAGTTGGGTAAGGGTGGATGGCCCGGCAAAGGTGTACCGACACCTGTATGTAGCAGGGAAACGCTTCCATCATGTCCGAACCCAAACAATCAAGAAGCCTGCCTTGCCTTTTGAGGGCTTGCGCCTGCATCTAGCGGAGCAGGGTAGAGTTCGGAGTCCTTGGCATGGTAGCTGTGATGTTTCTGTTGATTTCGCAGAAGGCCACGCACCGCGGCGCCACCGGATTTGTGTTCCTGGTTCGCTTGGCCAGTGACAGCAGCATGGCCTTCCAAGTTGGTTAGAGAGGTTGAAAGCGGAGGCAGTACCCGAGCCTCATGAACCTTTGTCGGCAACAGTGCATCTGCAAAGCGTCGACTTCACACGTGCTGGGAAGCTGGCATTGGGAGCTAACAGCAGCGAGATTTAGGGTCCTGCTTGGCAACCCCTCGGCAGATCCGAGCTGTTGTGACCCGATAATCAGACAGGGTTTCAGTGTTCACGAAGCTGAACCAGACTTGCAAAGGACTCTGGGCCTTTGTGCGACAAGCCGTTGGCGAGACCATCGTAAATCGGAGCAACCTCGCCATCACCAGTGCAGTTTTCAGGCCCTGCATACCACTCTTGTGGAATTGTTAAGCCCGAGAACGACTCCTTCAGGCGTAGGTCCCATATCTTCTGAAGCTCTCAACTGTTGCAGGTTTTCCTGGCCGACCTGCGGGCAAAGCCGCTTCCGTGATGCCCGCGCTCTGCACTTTCCAGATGCGGCTTGGAGCAGAGCTTCTTGATCAGTTGTATGTGCATATAAATGGGCACACATTCACACACACACACACACCTGTGTATATATATATATATATATATATAGATGTATACAAATATCTATGTGTGCATCCTTGTATGCATGTATGTATGTAGGTAGGTAGGTGTGCATGTTAGCATGTATGGGTGTATGGGTGTATGTATGTATGTATGTATGTATGTATGTGTGTGTATGTATGTATGTATGTATGTATGTATGTATGTATGTAAAGTGCAGTGGAAAGGGATCTGACCTTGTCGAGCGCGAGTGCCAAAAATGTATTCGTGTAATATAATGTAATCTAACGTAAAGTGGCGTATTGTAGTGTATTGTAAGGTAGTATGTGTGATTTATGGAATGCATGTAATGTATGCATGTGATGTAGGTATAATGCAATGTAATATGGTATGATGTGAAAGGATGTGATGTGATATCACGGCTTAAACAGCTAGATAAGAACGCCCGGCTGCGAGCAACAAACACATAGAATTCCTTCCCTTACGAAAGTGGCGAAAGTAGTCTACCTGTATTCACGCGCGCATATTTCTGAATAGATAGAACATGCTTTCACTCGCAGATATAGATAGATAGATAGATAGATAGACAAACAGATAAATTAGATAGATGTGTGCATATATACATCCGTCCATCCATCCGTCTGTCCGTCCGTCCGTCCATCCATCCATCCATCCATCCATCCGTCCATCCACACATCACATTACATCACATCACATCACATCAAACCCTTTCGTTTGAGATGTCTCCTCAATTGCAGCGTGGTTCTTATGTTTCTTGTTGCCGGTAATGCGGTCGGTCCGCATGAGCTGGAGTTGGCGAAGACGGGATCAGCTGCTTGAATTCTAACTTTGTGGAGAATGTCCCGAGATCCCAGAGAGAAGAAAACCGCAAAGAGGGCTCAATCCAACCTCTTGGTCTCCCTGCATGCCGCCATCCCACATATCATGTTGGTGTGGTCCTTGCTAGGGACTCATCTTTCCGTGTCACGACCGGGATGTAAGAAATATTGTAAGCATGCCTTCCATGTCTCCGGCGGGATCTGAAGTGAAGCGGTACTAAGCTTAACCTTCATTAAAACTCCAAATACGCGCTTTCTAGACGGACAGCAGACTATGAGCCTACGAGGGTCGCGTTCTGGGGTCTCATGTTAGTTTGAAGAGGGAGAGCTGTTGATTGTCTCTCCCAAGGCTCGCTTCATGCCGACTCCTACCTGTGGTGGCCTGGCTGTGCCTGGGCAGGGCCGAGTGGTTGAAGTGTTATACGATATTTGGGGATCTTGGGCTTCCTAGCACCCCCCCAACTACCCTTTATTGTAGCCCCCAACTGCCTCTTAATGAAAACTATCAGAGCTCACGTCGGTCGTAGTCGTCCTTATCGCCGTCTGCTTCGATGTAGCAGTACTATAAGTGCTAGTTGTGGCAGCAGCAGCTGTAGCTGTATCGGATGCCGCATCCATAACGCTAGCCGTAGCAGTGGCGTTAGCAGCAGCAGCATTGGTGTTGTTTGTGACATTCCGGTGAGTCACTCTTGCACTATGCACCGCGTGTGCATGGAGAGTGCGAGTTTGGGTGCCGAGCCCATTCTTAGATTCCATGTGCTCCGCAAGCTAAGCCATGAGGCCACAGGCACCGACACATGTTGCATGCGAAACGACACCATATTTTCTCGTACAGTGTTGTAGCAGATTTCTCATGCGGGAGTTTCCGAAAATAGGGGACCCTAATAAAGTACCCTAAATACTAGGATCCTGATTACAAGGACCCCCAGAACAGGTATCCCCAATTTCGGAAACTCCCATGTTGCATTTTGCCCAACATGCCCAGTCCCTCCCTCGTGCCTTCGCCGTAGAGGAACTCGAACCTAGTCTTGACGATCCTGCTTTTGGTCGGCGTTAGGGATGGGAAACCCTGAACCCTGAGTGCTGGTGGCAGGCTGAACACTTTATTTTAGCGGCCTTAATAAATACCAATACCATTTTGGGTGTTCCTTATTATAGCTATTATTTTAAAAAAAACTATAATTATAGTATAATATACCCCAAACTAAACCCTACTCTGATTCTTAAGGGGCCCCTACATTAAAACCAATTCAGATACGAGGCTCAGAGCCGAGAAACCTCCCGACTTCGTCTTCCGGCCACCGGAAGCCAGGCTCGGGTTTAGGGTATAGGGTTTAGGGTTTAGGGTATAGGGTTTAGGGTTTAGGGTATAGGGTTTAGGGTTTGGGTTTAGGGGTTTAGGGGTTTGGTGTTTAGAGCATAGGGTTTAGGGTGTAGGGTCGATGCTTGTTGCTGCGCTTTCGGATATGGGAGTTTCCGAAATTAGGGGTACCTTAGTTTGGGGTCCTTATGCTAAGGATCCTAACTATATTAGGGTCCCCTATTTTCGGAAACTCCCATATGAAGGTTATACAGCCACCAGTTATAGTTCTGAATTGGTTTTTAGGGCCCTGCTGTTGTTTTCGCACGGGTATAGGGTTTTTCTTGTGTGCGGTGTTCATGTACTTTTTGTAGTTCGGCGTCTCTAGCTTCATACGGCTGATGGACAAAATCCTGCATGACCCGTTATAAGGAATATACCATAGTTCCCATAGTTTAGAGTCCTTAGGGTCGTGCAGGATTTTGTCCATCAGCCGTATCACCATTCCTTGCGTTGAAGTGCTGTTGCTACCGGGGCTATGCCCAAGAGTGAACTCGAAAGCTGCGAAACTAAGGCGTGACATCTCCGAAGCTTGCCTAGTGCAGGGCGTTTAGCACCGATTGCTATGCCACCATCAACAAGAAGAACGATTAAATCGAAGCTCCGAAATCGAAGAGCGCTTCAATCCTCGAACCTCATGAGTGCCCTGAGACACAGGAACTTTTCTGGCTGTCTGGCGATCTTGGCCATGGTGAGAATCTGCTGTTGATCCAGATCCAGGTTACCCTTCTAGATGTGTGTGTGTGTGGGTGTGGGTGGTTAACGGCTTGGAGCGCAGAGGAAGGTTGCATTGCAAACGTGCTGGCAACACATGCCAGCAGCTAGGTCTACTGGCATAAATACTGCACTTGTCGTCAGACAGCCCCGGGAGATGTCAGAAGGAGAATGCGGCTAATCCTTTGCATACCGCCAACAGACAGGCGTGCCCTGCGGGGGTGCGCCCTCCTGCCTCGTGAAATAAAGAGAGAGACACTGGAAAAAAACGAGGCCGCGCACGAGGAACACAGAGAGAGAGAGAGAGAGACAGAGCGACGCAAAGCAAAGAGAGAGAGAGAGAGAGTATATAGTAGTTCCTGCCAGTGCTCCACGCAGCAGTTGGCCCGTGGAATTGGGTGCCACTTTGGCTTCATGTGTCCTGAGACAAGCCAGGAGCTGATTCTGCACGAGTTTTTAGCAGAAGCCTGCCTGCATTCTTTCATGCATGGGAACACAGGGGAGCTGTGTGTGAGAAGCGAGGTTTAAGGTTTCAGTTCCGGGCTAGCGGGGCGCAAACAGCACGAGACACCCACGTTTCTAAAGTGTACCGTACTTGAGAAGTTTCAGAACCAGGCCTCGTTTGTGTTTAGGTGCTTGTTTGGATCCCCAATATCGGCATGGAAACAAAAGCTTCTGTTCTGATGTGCCAAGGGCGGCCAGATAAAGGAGTACAGCCTGTGTGGAGGACATGCAAGCACGTGCCCTGCATGCAGAATGGAGGAATGGTTGCTGCGTTTGATGCCAGAGAGGTGATCCGCTTTGGTATCAAGTACAGAGGGAGCCTGACACATCCGAAGGAACCACGCGACCAAATAATGGGAAGCCTCCCACGCCGGCCTTTATTATTTTGTTTTCGCTGCCCCACCGCCCGGTGCAATACTCTACACCCCCCCAAAATCTAGGCACTGCACGTCCCCGGTGCATTCACAGCCCCCCAAAAAGCTTGTCTGAGACAAGAGAGACAGACAGATATGTGTAAGTATGTATATGCACAGTCAGAAGCAGCATTCTTGGTAGAGGCAAGTAGCTTGCGATGCAAGGTGCAGGCGTAACCAACTTACCGGCCAAGTTAGCCCAGAGACTCCAATATCCCTGAATCACCAAAAAAAAAACTTAAATCAGATTAGGGATCCTACTATAATTCAGGGTATATTCCTTGATTAAAAGATATATTGGAGTCTCTGGGAGTGTATCTCGAAAAAGGCCATAGCTACAACCGCTCAGGTACATCGGTTGCCCGTCTGAAGCCCCCGTGGACCTGGTCTACCCAGCCACTTGGGGAAGCTAAAGTTAGGGACCCCCAAAAGGGCATAAGCAAAAGCATTTTACAGGGATATCCCCACCTTATTGGGCTTCGTTAGAAGCCGGTTTATATCGGATGTCCCTATCCCTCATCTTCACTTTGCCGGGGTTCATGCCCCGGAACTTAAACAAGCGTCGCTACCAGAATCAAGACAGCACAGTATGTGCGCTTTGTGCCCAGAGTGGTATCTCACATCTGAGTCCCTATAAGACGAAGCCACCATACCCAGCGGAAGTGCATGGCCTGGAGGGGCCCCTTTGAGCTTCAACCTCCCTTGCTTTGTTCTGGTATTTGCTGTTGTTGGTGGTGGTTTTGGTGGTTTCTGATGTGCTTCTCAAGAGCTGTGGGTGTAATCTGACGTTTCTTTGTCGTAGTTGGGTAACATTTTACATGTTTATGGGTACTTAAACCCAATAAGGACATTTTCATCCTATCCCAACAATGAGCTAGGTTTCTTGTCGGTACATCTCAGGCACATGGCATTGGCAAAGCCTCGACTTTCTGCTCTGAGTCGAGCCGGGACAAGTTGCAGAATGCTTCCTGTTTTCAGATCCCGTAGCTTCGTGGGGTTTAAGTTGGGGCAGTAATATTTGAATAATGTTCATAATATAGATATATTATGAGGACCTTAATAGTAGCCCTATGATAGACTCTTACTGTATGGGAGCAGTACCTAAGGTTTAAGGTTTACTTCCTTCCCAAGCATCCCAGCCTCTTCGCACAAGGGGGAGGCTGGGCTCTGAATGCAGGTGAAAGGCTCAGTTGAGCTCTGCTCTCGGACCACCCTGTGCTTCGAAAAGATCCCAACATGCTATTCTGTGCTGCACACGATGACTGCATCGTCTAGTCAAGGCTAGCGCCAGCTTGGGCACAGAGGCTGTTTGTACTGCCATCTCTGGCTGTACCTCGCAACCGCAGGCACTAGCGAGCAGGGGACAAAGGCACATCACCCAAACAAAAAACTCATGGCTTGCTGCCTCAACTAGAGGGTATTCGAATCCAATGACACGATGCAATAGACGGAATATAGCTGGTAGCTGTTCTTTGAGAAAGGCTGGCACGACAAGCCTGAGACATGCCTGTTTGTTGAATGATTTGCTGCCTCAAGCCATGGCCGGCATGCGCGGAGATGCAGGGCTGGTGTGGGTAACTCTGCTACATATGGGAGTTTCCGAAAATAGGGGACCCTAATATAGTACCCCAAGCAGTAGGATTCTTATTATAAGGATCCCCAAAATAAGGTACCCCCCAATTTTCAGAAACTCCGATATTAGTGTACCATGCATCCAGAGGTGCAATTTCTGTGATGTCGGCAGCTGCTTCCACTCGCAATGGGGCGAAGCCGTCCGGTCGACCTGCACCCAAACAGGTCAAACAGAAAAGCTCCCAAACCTTGCGTTCACCTGCGAGGAGTCAGAGGGGGCCTTTGCTGGCCACTTCTGTCAGACCTAACCTTCACCTCTCCTTTCTGTTGAGTAATCCCCTTCTCAGGCGCGAGCCTGCGAACTGGCTCTGCAGCAGAAGATCGAGGAAGCCACTGCAATGTGCACAGAGATGGAAGAGAAGAGCCAGCGTCTAGGCCGTTGGGGGCCTAATTCGAACAAGCCGCCCTGAGCCACTTGTTCTTGCTTGAGTTTACATTCCCTATCGTCGAAATTGCATCCATCTATCAGCAAGCATCAACAGAGGACCCGATGATTACTTTCAATCTGCTTCTGGGGCCCTACCTAAAACGCTGCTCTGGTGAGGCGTCAGAGTCACCCAGGCGGCTGCAGCTGTCTCCAGAGCTGTCGTGGGCCTGTGCAGAAGCCCAGCCGGCCAGGCACGGAAGGATTGTTCCAAAACAGCAGCAAAGACAGGGCAGCTAATTCAGAGCGACTGTTCTCTGGCCTGCAATGTTTAACTGTCTGAGCGGTGTTTCCCTGAGCTGCAGCACGCAGGCGGGTGACTGAGAGAGAGCTCTGTCATGCACGGTGCCTTTGATGATTTCCCCTTGCGATGTGAACGCTGACCGAACCCGTCTCCGGGTTCAAGATCAAAGCCTCCGGAAAAGGAATGTAATTACCATACATGCTCTTTATCGGGTGATCTGGGTGCCTCCTGCCCGCTTTGCTCCTCAGACTCCTCTCAGGAGCAAAGCTATCACTAGTTGCCATGGAAACAGCAAATCTAAACCCAAACCCCTAAACCCAGTAGCATAATACATGGGCCGAGATAATTACCAATACTATTTTGGGGCTCCTTGCTGTAAAATTATAGTAACTATGGGTCCCAAAACTCCAATCAAATTACCAACGCCCCCGTTTTGTAGTACATTACCCTTATAGATTAGTATTCCTTATAGACCCCTTAAAGGAACCCTCTATTAATGAATCGGTCCTATCCTGCTAGTGGAGGCATTCCTCGAGACGCTGCGGAGTTTGGGGGCGACCTGGGGGGAGGCTAGCCTGCTGCTGACGGACGCGATCCGCAGCTGCAAGTCTTCAGACTTCGGGATAGCAGTTGGGGACGGACTTTTCCTATAATTGCTACTTGTCTGCTACTATAGTAATACTAGATTATATGTGAATACAATAATGATCCCATAATCGTACTATAGAACAAGAACGCTAGAGCTGTCGAGATGCTAAATTTTGCAAAATGCTGCGATGGCAGTGGAGGAGGTGACCGGCCTTGGGCCTAAAACAAGCTTGCTATCGAGCTCTGCTTGTTGATGTTTAGGGTTTAGGGTTTGGGGGTTTAGGGTTTAGGGCTTTAGGGTTTAGGGTTTAGTTTGTTGATCGATCTCGCTTCGGCTGAAAAGCCCTCTTACCGGTCAGAGAGCCCCTATCAAAGGCGAGTCCAGGCCCCATCGATGTCGCTAGCCGCTAGACACCCTTGGATTTCGAGGTTGCATGGGTTTAGCGCCGCATTCGTCCAAAATTGACGTTTGCTTGGCCTTTGACCGCAGCTCAGGAGCAGCAACAACTTGCCTGATCCCGGAGATTCGCCGTGGGGCGCAGCAGTGAAAGCGGCAAAGGCCAGCAAGTTCGAGGTTTCGCGGTTGGCCCGAGAAACAATCACTGGTTAACCGCCGATCTGCAGAATGCATGTCGTCGCACATCTGAGTCGGACGTTGCTCCAAGGAGCTGTAGTTTCATGTCTGCGGCGGTTCAATCCAGAACCTCTTCACCCTGGTTACATCGTAGCATCGGCCGGCCCTCCGGAAGCCCAGGAGCGCGAATCCCCAGCCACCTCGGCTCGAGCGTGTGTCAGCCAGAGCGTACCGAAGTTGAATTCCCCACTTATCTCATCTTCGCGATCATGATGTCCCTCCGCTACCGCCGAACATTCATTGATGTCGATGAGGCGCCGCCAGTGAAGTTGTTTCGATCCAGCAGCGTACCGGCAGCTCTTCGCGTCGAGGATGGGGATGCAGAGATGAAGAAAGAATTGGCAAGCGTCTACCAGCGCATGGCTCAGTGGCGACCAGAACTTCCCTCCTCGCACCCAGGGTCAGATCAGACATGGAACAGCAGCGTGTTGGCAGAAGTGGAGGTTTCTGGAAAAGTGGCAGATGAAATGCCGGTGCTGGTCATTTCGCCAGGACCAGGAGGTGATCAGCAGGCCATCATCCTTGAAGCTGAAGCTCTCAATCCTGGAAGCTATGGTCACCCAGAGGTGTGCCGCAAGCCCTGCGTGTTCTTTCAAGTCGGCCAGTGTGAAAGCGGGGACCGTTGTGGCTACTGCCATTTCCACCACAAGCGCCCGATCATGCCCGATCGCAGGCAGCGCAGCACTCTCCGCAAGCTTAACCAAGCGGAGCTTTTGCACACCTTCCTTCCGATTTTGTGGTCGGAGGCTGGAAGGACGGGCATTGCCTCAGAGGCTACGCATGTCGTTCACATCTTGGCTGATGCCCTAGATACCTTTGGCATGCCTCGCGCCGCCAAACTCGCAGGCAGCGACGCAGAGTATCTTAAGAGCTTGCTGAGCCGCATGTCCTTTGGCAGCTTGATGGCAATGCTGCTTCACAACCTCAAGCCCAGCGCATTCGTGGACACAGCTCGCACCGAATTCGAGGCGATGCGCCGAATTGTACAACTCAATGCTTAGGGCGCTTGGTGAGAATGCAGAGTCGGATGCACTTGAGAGGCACTTGTAATGGACGAGCAGTGCATGACGTGTTTATGCATTCTGCTTTTGAGTTCTTTTCGTCAAGGTTTCTCCAAGCCTCTTCCGCCCAAACGCTGTCGCAGCAAACTCTGCATTTCTTGCTCACAACACGATGCTACCTGTCGTGCCCTGTTGATCCGATGCTAAGTCCGTCGATGCCGAGGATCCGATGCTGAGCTAGGACCCTGGCAGTCGTGTGATGGCAGGAATGTGCACGCAGAAACCCAAAAGCCTCTCTCCCCACAAGACTTCCGTGACATCCCTCGAGATTTAATCTTGCCATCCCTTTGTTTCAATTTCATCTTTTCGGTGCCAACCTCTCGGTGCCAGGTCGGCGTTACAGCGACAGCACCGCTTAAGAAACGGTTACTTTTTAGGCAAGGGTATACCTGGATTTGTTGATTTTGAAGCGCACGTGTTTTGTCGAAAAAGTTTCCGGACTTGAGTGTACCCTGGATTCCTGGACCCAGATTTCCTGCTTGAAAGGGCTCCAAAATTTAATGAAAGTCGACAAGATGTACGGTACATGAAAAAGAGATCGAGGGAATTGGCTTTTTGGCACAACAGCCCATGCGTTTGACCAGTCATGGCCTTTTTCAAGTTGTCGCCAAGCCCTGCTCCTTTGCCCAAAGTAAGAAACCCAGCTCTTCAACTTAAGAACCTAGCCCCTGGATTTCCTACTCTGGTGGTTCCCTATTCCTTGTGACAAATCTGACATATCGTAGGAGCCCTTCTTAAGCTTTTGCAGAGCCTCTACAGCCCTCGTCTAAAGCCGCTACTAAGGCCCGATAAAGCCTTTATCAAGAACTTCTGGCGCGCCCAGAACCCTCCAAAATGACGAATCCAGCCCTCTGATTCCCCAGGTTGTTTCTCTGTCTGTTTTCGCTGAAGTAGCGAGTCCAACCCCATCAGTCTCCTAAGTCTTCTTTTGAAACGAAGAATACAAGCGAACCAAAAGAAGGTCAAAGTCATGCAAAATAAGAAATTGGCACACCGAGGGTACCCTGGTCTTAAGTCTAACTGGCGCATTTGTGTGTTTGATTGTTATGCGCACGACTGCCTGAGGATTCCTCTTTTAAGCCCAATGATTTCTTAAGCAGTGCCGTCGCTATACCAAAATCGCCAACCAGGGGTTCAATCTTTGCGCCGCTGTGAGGATGAGCTTTACTTTCGTTGTTTGTCATTCGTTCGCCTGCATTTTGCGGTTCTTCTCGGGGCTTTGAATTTGCACAACACATCATCTGGTTGATAACTCAGGCGAATGCGTCAGAAGTTTTGGTGCGTCGGAAATCCCCTCCCGGCTGTCGTGACTCTGAGACCAAGCTGCCGCTTACCTGTAGGTTGTAGATCCTGGCACGTGGAGTCGCGTGTTCCCTACTGTAGGACGGTTTTGGGGTTTAGGGCTTAGGGCCTCAGGAGATTGCGCTCCAAGTTCTGAATGTTTGCTGCTTTCTCGAAGTGCGCAGCTTGCACAGAAGTTCAGTCAACCAGCTTCGGAGAGGTTTGACGGTTTGCTGGCCAGGGGCGAGGTCCGCAAATCCATAAAGATCTTGTTCAGCTTGTCTACTTGCGAAACGTGCAACTGCTGTTCATGCGGTTTTCCGAGCCCCGGCGCAAGTAAACTTTCGGGATCGTCAAGCCCAACCGCACAGTGTCCAGATATCTCGCCGGAGATGCCGGTGTGCGACGCTAAGTCCGTCAATGCCGAGGATCCAACGCTGAGCTAGGACCCTGGCAGTCGTGTGATGGCAGGAATGTGCACGCAGAAACCCAAAAGCCTCTCTCCCCACAAGACTTCCGTGACATCCCTTGAGGTTTAATCTTGCCATCCCTTTGTTTCAATTTCATCTTTCGGTGGCAACCTCGCGGTGCAAATCCTGCCAGGTGGCCGCTACCTGTGGAAATGAGCTTCTCCGTATTCACTGCTGTTCGTTGTTTGTCTTCGTCTTTTTTTGTTCAGCAGCTATCCGGCCTTGTAGCTTGAGGCTGCAAACATCCAAGTCAGCCCAACGAATCACGTATCTGTTGTGTCAGACCCTCAGACCGAGCTGCCACGCACTTGCACATTTGGAGAATTCTATATGTGCACTTCTTTCCGGAAGCGTGCAGCTTGCGCAGAAGGTCAACCAACCAGCTTGGGCCAGCATCCCGTGCCCCAAACTCAACTATCGAGCTTGAAAGGCACAGGAGCGAGGTCCTTAAATCCATGACGGTTTTTGTTTCGCGAAGGCCACATGTCCAACCGCAGACGGGCACCACTTGTTGGAAGAATGCACAAGCTTGAGGCATCAGCGGCGCATTATCCAGGGTGCTGGTTAAACCCTGGATCTTGCATCGACTGTGCTCCAAGCTATCCCTTGCTACACCAGAGGATTTTAGGCATCGTAATCTGCATGTCTTGACGAACATGAGATAAGCAACGATGTGCAACCTTCGGATGTTCTGTCTGCAGAATTCACATGTAGTGGGCGATGGTCCTTTGAACTTTGAACACAAATCTGCAGCAGTGCTGGGGTCGTTATCAAGCCGCCGTTGGTTCGTCTTGAACGGTCGACGAGCCGACACTTCTGACCCAGCCTGCAGGTTCCCTTGCGCCATATCATCGCAGATCGGAAGATGCAGTTGAAAATCTAGCAAGGTCGGGCAAGCACACCCGCAAACAATTTGCGAAAGGCGAAACCGTCGATCCTTTTCTACATGCTTTGTTGCGAGAAGACGGATGCATGGGCTACTATCCCGGAAACTCCGCTACCCTCCAGCCCACTCCTCCTTCCATGTACTACGGTAGAAGCTGAGAAGGCAAACGTTGTTGTCAGCCCCATCCAGCCATCCCTGAAGCCACAGTATTTTGCCCAGTCAAGAAACCCGAGACACTCTGAGCTTAGGGCAAGGAGTAGTTCTTAGCTTCCATCTGGATCCACATGCTCCCACATCTCTTTTCTTTCCAGCCCACACACGTGGGGTGCGGATACGTCGAACCACGCCCAGCAAGGCCAAGACCCCAGAACCGTACACCTTTGACACTTACGCTCTTGCTTTCTGCTGCCGCAACTGCCAAATCCTAGAACACACCGAGACAGCAGGCAAGAGGCAGTCAACGGCCAGAGCCAACACCTCCGGAACTCTTGGGAGCCGCCACATGCTTATAAGATCTCCCTAAAATCACCTCCCGCGAAGCTCCGAAAAGTCGAGATCACGGAATGAAGGCTGCCCTGTCCCAAGCGCCGGATGCGGCCCGGACGACGGCCTTGGCACATCGCCTTGGGCTGGCTTGGACTCCGAGCGCCGGCAGCAGGAAGAAGTCGAGAGACCCCAATATCCCTTGATTAAGGAATATGAGTATGCCTTAAAATATCGTAGGATCCGTAATAAATATGGTTTAAGGTGTATTCCCTAATGAGGGGATGTTGGAGTCTCTGGGAGTCCTGATCATCGGTTTAGGGTTGAGGCGAGTGAAGCACCCTTGGTCTTGGTTCCTCGGTCTCAGTCAAGATGATTCGAGGTCGTGTGGGCTAGCTAGCTACGAGCTCATTGTTGGTCACTCCACCATCTGACAGCAATCATTATAATTTCAAGTACTGTCAGCATGTCGAAGGAATTAAAGGAAAGAGGTGACCTTGTTGGTGGTGGTGCTGTTGCTGCTGCTGCCGCTGCTGTTGTTGTTGTTGTTGCTGTTGCTGTTGCTGTTGCTGTTGCTGTTGCCACCACCGCCACCACCACCACCACCACCCCCGCCACCACCACCACCACCACCACCACCCCCACCACCACCACCACCACCACCACCACCACCACCACCACCACCACCACCACCACCACCTCCAGCTCCAGCTCCAGCTCCAGCTCCAGCTCCAGCTCCAGCTCCACCTCCACCTCCACCTCCACCTCCACCTCCACCTCCACCTCCACCTCCACCACCACAACATCCGCAGCAAATGCACCAGCAGCAGCAACAGCACCACCACGACCACCACCACCACCAGCAGCACCACCACCGCCACCGCCACCGCCACCACGACCCCACCACGACCGCCACCATCACCCCAACAACAACGCCAGCACAGGCACCAACACCAACACCAGCAGCAATAGCAACAACCACAGCCATAACCACAATCACGACAACGACCACGACGACAACCACGACAACAACGACGACGACGAACACGTCGACGACAACAACACCAACACCAACACCAACGCCGCCACCAACACAGCCACCTCCACCATCGCCACCACCAACAACAACAACTACCGCTACTGGCAGCTAGCATTTACCGGCAGTAGCTCGAAAGAGGAACAACGGTGATTACTCTTGCACTCGTTGCTTTTCCGCGTGTTTTATTGACGAGGGTTGTCATAAATCTGTTTCAGCTTGTTTATTGGGACAACCAAAGGACCCTGCAGCCGCGCCGTGCAACATCGAGGACGAGCAACTGGGACTTCTATTACTGGAGCCTCTCAGCCGATGTTCGGGAGCCCACTCCAGCCCGGCATGTTTCAAGACAATCCTAATTCTTGATTGAGCAAAGTGTCTATCTGTTTGTCGGTCTGTCGATCTTTCTAGATACCTATCTTCCTAGCTATAACTATATCTATCTGCCTACTTATCTATCTATCTATCTGTCTCATCATCTATCTATAAATGTGCACACGTCTTTGATTCGATATGTTTGCTGCTAATTCTCGCTCAAGACGGAAAGAGTCTAGAGTCTAAAGAGTCTTGACAGCGGCGCTCCACAGGTTCCGCTCCATCTGAAGCTGCTGCAGCCAGCACTTCTTCACCAGCAAAAGCGCTGGCATTGAAGGAGACTCCGCATGGCCAAAGGATTCGGACCGCAGAAGCTTCATGTCCCGCTTGTGTTGGCAGGCCCAAATTCAAACCTTGGCCCTGCCTTTTCAACACCTCCGCTTTGCCACTGAGCCATGATAACTGTAAA